TGGGTCGCTGATGCCCTGTTTGAGTGAGTCCAGCCCACGGCTAACTGAGCCTTGAAGGCCATGTCTGTGCTCCAGGGGACTGGGGCTGAGCTGTTGTTTCTGACCAGCCACCTTCCTGCTGCAGCCATTGCTTCCTCATGTCCACCGAAGCTGGCCTGGCACTGGCACAGGCAGGTGATGCTCTGTCACGGGGCGTTGAGAAGCTGAGTGCCTCCAGGCATGCAAAGCTCTCCTGCCTTGCTGCATCCTTCAGAGCTGTTGTTGGACTTTGTGTTTTCTGATGATTGTAAGGGCTTGTCTCAGGAACGATACTGGTCTGTCAGACCTTTCAACATGGCTGCAGGCATGGGGAGTGCTGTGAGCTCCCAGGGCACTTACCTGGCTCCTGGCCAGATTGGCATGCTCTGGGCTAGTGTGGCACCACTCCCCCAGATCTGGGACTGCAGCCGTGTTGAGCAATGTTATAGCACACTGCAGGGCTGTGATGCATCAGACAGTGCTGCTTTCATCTGCTATTGCCTGCCACTGTCTTCCCCTTCCCCTGCCTTCTTTCCCCTGCATCAGGCTGCATTTGTAAAATGAAATAAATATTGACACGGACGGGATGCTATTCAATTTGTCCTGATCACTGGGCTGCGGTGAGTTCTGACAGTGCAGAGTGTAAAACATAAGCTCAGGATGTAATTTCTACTGTCAACATGATGTACAGTACGACTGTGCCAAATACACACCGACAAACTGCACAAGCTCTTGCGGGGAGGAGAGGGGGAGCTGTGCTGATAATTGGGAAGCGGGGATGACAGAGCAGCAGCAGCAGGAGGGAGGGCATCTCAGGGTGGTGCGAGAGCCTAGTTCTTTGCTGCGTGCATGAAAGCCTGCCTGTCACAGCAAGAGCCCAGGCGTGTGGCCTTGCGGGTGCACGCGTGCTATGCACCTGCAGCTGTGGGCTGCTGTCTGCTCAGGATGCTGTGCTGGGGGCTGAGTCTGGCTGCAGCAGCTCCCACTTAGTTATTTATGGCTCTGCTGCTCACGTGTGGCAGCGAGAAGTGGCACCTCCAGCTGTTGGTGAATGTTCTTGAATAGTGTGAGGAAATAAATGCTGTGCTAGTCTTGGTCCCTGTGCTCAGAACTTTCTGTGGTGCTGTGGGGGTACCTTGAATCCTGCTGCAGCAAATACACGAGCAGGGCTTGGAGATCTGGGGTATGTTGCTTCTGGAAGAGCTCTGTGAAGTGACAGTCAGAAGGAAAAGTGTGCATGCTGAGAAGTGGCTCAGTGCTGACCCTAGCTGTGGCCTGAAGCTTTGACAGAAGAGAAATAGGCTGAGAATTTATGGGTGGAGAAGAATCTAGTTTGTGACATTGAGCCTAGCCAAAGATGTGTCTCTGTGTCTGTTTCTAGGTGGCTCTGGGTATCAAGATCTGGAGCATGCATTGGACTGGGTACAATATGGGACCCAAGCGCTTAGGAGGTGCATTGAGAGAGACTGGGATGCACCCATAGGAAGAGCCTGCAAACAGTTCAGCTGAATGTAGCTGAACTTTGGCAATGTGAGACAGCCTCTAGCAAACCACATTAGCTCAGGCATAGCAGTAAGATGAGAAATCTGTTAAATGTAACAAGCGGCATAATGGCTGGGACTCAAAACACAAGGTTGTGGTTCCCACAGCAACGGCAGCCCAGCCCATGCGCGCTCAGCGGGACTCTCCTCTCCATGGCAGTCGCGGCTCAGCAGAGTGCTGAGATGCAACAGGGCTGAGCAAGTTGCCTTGGGAACTGTGGGCCAGCTCCTCTGCCAACTGGGGAGTGGCCCCGCTGGAGCTGTGCTCGCCTACTGCGGCGCCTTTCGCCCTTGCGTACGCTTCTCTGCTTCGCTTTAGTGTGTGCATTCAAATTGCTGCTTTTACTGGTTTATTGACACTGTTTTGGATTTAGTCGCTTCCATTTATGTGTTGTAACTCTGGTGAGGCTGAAAGAAAATGCACGGTGGCTGTGCAGTGCCATCCCTGTATGCATACAGGCCTAGTCTCCATATGGCTTGGGTAGTCAGGTCATGGAGGGGGCTGCGCAGCTTGCGTGGGGAATGGCATGGTGAGAGGAACAGGGGTTGCTCCTACCTCCCTCGCTGAGCCAGCGTTGGTGCTGTTTGCAGGCTAATGTTACTAATTATGCCTGCATTTCACTGTTGTGTTGGCTTTCCTTCAGGTTTGCCACAGGCTCAGGAGGTCTTCAGTGATTGCAGAACTGTTCTGTCTGGTAGCAATTGGCATTGCTGCCCTGTAGGGCTTCTGACAGGGCTTTATGGAGCAGCCTGGATGGCAAGGAGAGGGCCTCATGGCAGGCAGCAGATGTCTACAGCTGGTGACTGCTTCTCCCGAAGGCTCTGATTATGTAGTAGACCTTGAGAACATGGCCAAATGGGCTGTTAAGTTCTGTTTCTGCCATCTGCATTTTTCAGGTACAATGTACTTGTACAGAGACTTTGGACACATCTGGAAGCATTGCCTGCAAAAGTACTGTGGTGTAGCAGGGGCAGAGATGCTGGGTAAGGGCTTCTTTCCAAAGTTATTGTATGCCCTAGATGCTGGCTTGAAGCTCTTGCTCTGGCACGACTTGTGCTATTCAGTTTATTGACATCTCTCACTATCTGGGGAACTCTCTCTAAAATAGCTATAAATTTCCTAGATGTGAGAAATTGGAGAGATACTGTTTGTGGCAGTGATGCTCTGTATCTTGTTTTATGTATCTTCTATATATCCATGCAAGAACGATAAAACAGTTTTGTATGTGTCCTGTTATTGTCATTGTGAATCTCCCGCTCTGAAGTCTGATGCAGGTGGGGCAGCTCTAGAGTGGGGACTTTTGCATCTGTGTTTGATACATGAAAGGTGCAGTTGCTTTACCCTGACAGACTTTACCCTGACAGTGGGATGGAACAAGCCAGTCCATCTGTATACAGACCATCCTACTCCCCTATATGTAGTCTGCCATGTTAAATATTTTGTCATGTTTGATTATAGGGATTTTTGCCTCTATATTGGCAAGTGTAACTGGCCCTTCTGGAGCAGTGGCAAGAACTGCTCCTGCGTGGGGAGTCCTGACTGCAAGTGGGAGCTTTGCCATTGCCAACAACCTTATGTGGTTGGTATGAAGATGTCTTAATAAGAAACTGCCCATCAGGAGAGAGGGGTGGGAAGGAATGTTAGTACTTCTGCGCCATGATTCCTAACAAAGAAATACACTGGAGACTCTGTGCTCCTTGAAGCTTGAAGCACACAGGGCTTGCACGTGTGAGATATGGGCATGTGTGCGCAGAATACAGCATGAGTGTGTTGAGGGAGAACTGGCACGTGTCCACACAAACAAGGCACAAATAGGGACAAAAAGGAGTGACTGTGTACATGAGTGCTCTTAGCTGTGCATGTGAAGTATGAGTGTGAGCCCTTGTGTGTGAATATATCTGCGCTTTGCATGACACGCTACATGTGAGCCGTTAATAGGCAGTGCTGAATGGCGTCAGGCACTTCCTCAGGTCAAATGCCCTGTGCTTCTCAGTGTGTGCCCAGACAGGGAAATGCAAAACAGGTGCAGCTTGTTGGATGCTTTGAGAATTTACCCTGTAGCTGTGGTCACAATAGGGGAATGACAAGTGCAAGGAAGGGCTATTTGCTAGTTTTCCCTGCTCTGAACTGCTAGGACTGTTTAGAGTCATGCAGGGGGCTGTGCAGAGCATGGTCCAGGCAGCTGCCTAGTGGCCCTTCTCTAGGGAGCAGATGCCTACCTACTGCCTCGTGCACGTGGTCCAGGATAGTCCCTCCTCTTTTCCCTCTACTATTTAGAGTAAGAGATGACAGGAGATTCTCTGCAAAAGCAGTGAAAGTGCACATACTTCATGAGCAATTCTGGCTGTGGCTGGTGTTGCAGAGCTCTGGTGGAATCTCAGGAACCTCAGGGTGTTGGTAGAGGGAGGTGGATGCTGCATACCTATCCCCCTCTCCTCATTGAGCTCCCTCTTCCTAGTTGCTTGTCGAATGCAGTTTACGCTTGGCCCCAGGTCTCATGTCACTATCCTTAGTATCTCAAGTGTGGCTTGAAACTTACTGCAGATCCCTTTCTTAAAAAAATGTTTACTGTCAGCCAGGTGCTGATGGTACAGCACTGCTGTGGGGCACCTGGGAGGGTTTTTTTGTTTGTTTATTTTTGGGGGGAGGGGGAAAGGGAGGGCCCTGACCTGAGGGTGCAGGGGCAGTGGAGGGGCACAGAGCCCCGTTCTCACACCAGCACTGACACCTTGGCATTTTCCAGGCTCCTGGGGATGCTGCTGGCTGCCCTTCGCCTCCCTGTGTGAGCCGGCAGAGGATGGAAGCGACTGGCATCAGCTGGGCCAAGGACCCTTCACCAGGTGCTGGGATGTCGCCCCCCTGAAGACGGGAATTACAAATGGGCTCGTGAGCGGAGCGCACAGCACGGGTCCCTGCGTGGCTGGACCCCTCGGGCCACCACGGGACAGGTGGAGGCTGGCCACAGCAGCTCGTCCTCTTAACTCCTCTGGGAAACCTTGTGTGGAAAAGCTGTCCCTTGCGCCTTGTGGATGCTGGTCCTGGGCAGCTGTGCCCCATGCACTGCTGCAGAGCTGCCTGCCTGTGGCGGGGCAGGCAGCAAGCTGCACATGACCCCGCTCCCTGGAAAGGCCACCAGCAGCTGAGCTCGGAGCTGTGCAGCCCTGTCCTTGGGGACAAATGCCAGCTGCCAGACTCTTCTCTGGAGACCCAGGAGCAGCTTGTGAGACAACAGCATTGACTGTTCTCATGCTAGCAGTGGGTTGTCTGGAACGCCTGCAGTTGCAGATGTGACTCTAGCCCACAGTGGAGGGCTCCAGCTGCAGGACGTGGCGTGCAGCAGGGATGGGGATACTCTGCAGTGACTGGTGAGCCCAATGCTGCTGGTGTGGACTTTCCTCCTGAGGATGCCAGTTGCCTGTCCAAAAGCCTCCTAGAGTGCAATGGCAAAGGGTCTGCAGGGCTTCTCGTGGACCATGCTGCTGCTGCTCTGTGCTATCCAGGAGCTGGGGTCCTGGGCTGTGCACACTGCAGCAGAGGGTCCTGGCCTGGGGCAGCCAGGGGACCCTGCGCTGCTGGTCAGTGGACGAGTGAAGCGTGGCTGGGTCTGGAACCAGTTCTTTGTGGTGGAGGAGTACACGGGCACGGAGCCACTGTACGTGGGGAAGGTAAGGTAACCCTATGTGTCCCTGGGGCTGATGAAGCCTGTGCAGAGCAGGGCATGCGGGCAGCATGGTTGAACCTGGTGGGGGTGAGGGGCCCTGCATGAAGGCTGCTCACAGAGGGAGTACCCTAAGGACTGGGTTGGTAGGAGCTCCGGGTGTGCGGCGCTGGGTGTTGTGGGGGCAGTGGGGAAGGCTCAGCCCTGTCTCTGGGAAGGCAGACATGCAGGCTATCCTGGGCCGGTGCAATGGGCAGCTGCTCACACTGCTCCATGCCTTGCGTGGGGGCTGAAGTGCTGCTGGAGCACCAGGAACTTCCAGCCCTGGCAGTTGCTGCAATAGGCACAGCCTTGTCTTCCTGGAGTTGTTCAGTTCCCCATCCTGTAGTCCCTTCAGTATGAGGATGATGTGCTGTTTTGTTTTGTTTTGTTTTTGTTTTTGTTTTTCCTCATTCCTCCCTGAGGCTCCCTGCTGGTCCTGGAAGGACTGTGCTCTGTTGGACCTGTAGGCTGCAGCTGTTTCTGAGCTAACCATCTGAGCAGACTGGGGCTGGCAGAGCAGATGTCCCACTCTAGTTGTGGCATGGAAATCCAGCTCCTGCATGTGGCCAGAGGGAGGTTGTTTCAGGATTGATGCATCTCAGGCTGGCCTGCACAGCGCAGTATGGAGGGTGCTTGGTGCGGATATGCAGGGCTTGGAGGGGCTACGAGGACCAGCACTGGTGATAGAACTTGCCAGGGGTCTGCACATCAGGCCCATGAGTGGGTGCTCCTTAGCACTGCCCAGGGGCTGCACTGTGCTGTCTTGCTGCCCTTGGGGCCGGTCTCACACTTGACTTTGCACAGGTGGTGGCACTGATGACCTTACCTAGGGAGGTGCTGGGAATGTTCAGGCTTGTAATCATCCTGCTCCGCTGTGAGAAGGTGTGATAGCAGGCACTGAGCCGTTCTGGTCTCCCCACCTGGAAAAGACCCGGTTGTCCCTCACCTCTGCCAGGGAGTGACTCTTCATGCTGTTCTGACTCTTGCTGTTGCTCACACACTGCAGAGGGGCATGCTGGCAAACCCAAGGCAGCCTTCGTTGGCAGAATACAGCGCTGTGCAGGGCAGGACTGGATCTGTCATTGGGAACTTGCTACTTGCCTACAGTGACCTCCTGGGGCAGGGGGATGCTGGTTACGGACATGGCATCCTGAGGCTGGAGGAGTCAGGCTGAGAGACCTGGGTCTGTTCAGCCTTGAGAAAAGAAGACTGAGAGGGGATGTTATTAATGTTTACAAATATCTTAAGTGTGGGAGACAGAGGGATTTGGCCAGCCTCTTTTCAGTGGTTTGTGGGGACAGGACAAGGGGCAATGGCCACAAGATAGAGCACAGGAAGTTCTGCACCAACATGTGAAAGAACTTTTTTGCGGTGGGGGTAACGGAGCACTGGGACAGGCTGCCCAGGAAAGTTGTGGAGTCTCCTTCTCTGGAGATACTCAAGGCCCGTCTGGACATCTACCTGGGCAACCTGCTCTAGTGAACTGCTTTGGCAGGGGGGTTGGACACAATGATCTCTTGAGATTCCTTCCAACCCCTATAATTCTGTGAGCCATTCACTTTGGGATTGCTGGGCTTTGTCCTTTTCCAGGAGCTGTGGAGAGGCTGCCGTGTGGTTCTTGGGTGTTTGGAGGACACCCTTTTTATACTGATGAAGGCAGAGCTAGCTGCTGGGACCAGCCCCAGGGGAGAGCTGCTCCTGTGGGGACATGGGCTCTCCCTAAAGGAAAATGCCCAAGAGCTCATGCAGCAGGGCTGTCTGATGGCCTTGGCTGTCTGGTTGTGAGTCTGGAGGAGGCTTGAAAATGGGCTTCTTGGCTATGGGCCAGGTGGAATTTCAGCAGTGATTTGTGTCCATTTCAGCAGACACTCGAAAGCCGCACTCCTCCGCCAGGACGCTCGATGCAGTTACAGTTAATTCACAGCTCCCCTGGGAGGTGACTCGAAGCATCAGGCCCTGTCAAACTCCAGAGGTAGCCTAGCAACAGCCTCATCTCCAAAATGAACCCAGGAACCTAAAACTAACCCATTTTACAGTCTCTTTCACATCATTCAACGCATCACCCACCCCACTCAGAATAAAAACCAAGCTGCACCAAAACCAATTCCCTGTCGATATTGCTCCACAGGGCTGAAAGCAGCCTGGACCAGGCTCTTCCTGCACCTGGGAGAAGCTGTGGTGCCTGCCTGGGGAGGCTGGGGCTGGGAGCCCCCAGCCCTCTGGCTGAGCCAGCTGAGGAGCAGGGCTGAGTGCGGAGCCTTGCAGACGTGGCGCTGTGTCTCCCGGTGGCGTGGCTGGGGCTTGCCCTCCATGGATGCCTCTTGCACACCTCCACGTGTTCTTCAAAGGGCCAATGCCGTTTCCATAAAATCTGGGTTCTCTAGTTAATCCTTCTGAACTGTAATTTCCCCTGAGGCTACTGTCAGTTTGATGTGGATTTCTTTGTGTGTGTGTGTGGGGGGGGGGGGTTAATAGAATTATGGGGTCAGCACTAGTTACAAACTTCTGCATGTGGACAGATCTATTTTAGATAGAGGAGGGGATTAAAGGGGAAAAAAAAGGAGATTTAATTAAGTTGCTAATATTTAAAGAAAATTGATGAACTCAGGCTTTATGAGTTGGAGCAAACAGAGTGCGCCTTTATTACGGGCTAGTTTTTATTTGATTTTCTTTCTTTTCCAGCCCCAAAGTCATTTTTATTTGTGTATCTGTGCTTCCTGTTTAATCGCTTTTAATAAGGAATGTGCACCTCTGTTCACATTTAATTTTGTTTTAATTATTAGCAAGTAATTAATGGCTTCATAAAATTCTTGGGTTTAGCCCTTTGGGCTAATGGAACTATTTCCTGTTTAACAAACTGAAGTGTGGGCACTCTTGTCCTTGCCAGATTTGCTGAGCCAAGGGGCGGGGGGGGGGGGGGGGGGGGGGGCAGGAATTCCCTCACAGAGAAGGAGGTGAATGGGGGTGGGGGGTGGGGGGGATTCCGGGCACGGCTGCCCCTGAGGTTCAGGGTCTGTGCTGTACCAGGGCTGCCCAGCTTTGCTCGCCTGTCCTGCTTGGTGGCAGCGTGGTGGTGTGGCTCTCTGTGAGCCCGGGCAGAAGTGAGCATCCCTGGGACGTGCTCTGGGCCTGCGCTCTGCAGCATCTCCCCCCAGATGCCTGTAGTCAGTTTTCCAGCCCTCCCCCATTAGTTGTTGTTTAGCCAAGCAGCACAGATTTAGCTCTTCTAATCTTCCCTTGTAAATCAATCTCTACAGCCCCTTGAGCCCAGGCTCCATTTTTCTTCCTTGCTTTCCAGTTTACAGGGATGCTGGTGTCTGCTCCAAGCAGTCAGCAATGAGCAAATATGTAAAGAGGATGTGCTGAGAGCTCGGTGTGGTGCTGGGTGGTTGATCTCTGGCCTAATTATTAATCGTGAGGCTGGTGTTCAGCAGAAAAGATGTGGGTTTCTGTTACCTATGTGGAAGAGACCAGGCACACCTTCTGTCCGAAAAGCTTGATCTCTGATGGAGTAATAGTGAATGTTGTGGAGATTATACCATGGTGGAGGCAGCATGCTCTCCAGCAGCCAGAGGGCTGGTGCAGGATCTCCAGGGCTGGATGCTCCTGCAGACTGGGGCAGACCATCCCTGTGATGAGCTGCTGCCCTGGCAGGTCTGTGACCAGATCATCACAGTGGTCCCAGGACACTGCTGGGCTCATGGCTGTACACACTAGCTGAACAAAGGTCCACATCCTGGGCAAGCATAGGGAGGTGTTTCAGCATGGGAAGTAATAGGAGAACATTGTATAAAATGCATTAGATTGTCTGATGTGTGGGTACCTCGCTCATGAAATAAATATATAAACTGTATCTAACAAGACAAATATAATGAAGGCATCGTAAAAAAAAAAAAAAAAGGCAGCTCTGGTATAAATTCTTGCTGGTAGAGCTGTATGTCTGAAAGGTGGATTATAGAACTGCAGTTTGGAAGATTGAATGGCCCATAAACATTTTCATATTTCATTAGCCGATTAATGGACAGCTTTTCTTTTTTTTTTTTTTTTTTTCTTTTTAAGGGGGTGGGGAACTTTGCTGATTCTAAGCAGAAATTGCAGGTACCAAATGAAGACAGCTGAAGAAACCTTTTGGGGGCCCTGTCCTGTTATGGATTGTCCCAATTAATGCCCGTGCTGCTCTCTGTCAAGATGCATTCTGCCTGTCCAGTTACTGTTAATAGATTTCTCATAAGTGGCTGGATTGTAAAAACCTCGTAACTCAGTTTAATGCCACCAATAAAATTACCTCTGGACATCTGGCCTGGATTCCAGTCAGCTCCCAGTCCGTGGGGAGCTGCTGTTTACCCTTTCTTTTCCTAATTCCAAACATTGTCTTAATTAGAAAATGAAGTAGAGATTGACTACAAAAGCACCTTTCCCAGGGTCTGTTTTTCATCCTGAATGCAGGCCTGATTGTCCAGGCTGGCTCTGGGTGTGATGCTCACATGCAGGGTGCCCTGCCAGCACCAGTGCCTGGATGGCAAGTGTGGCTGTGGTCAAAGTGGTGGGCAAGGAGGGTGGGCTTTTGGGCAACTGGCCGGGTAGGTGGGGGCTGATGCTGGTGCTGAGCTACCTTTATACCCCAGTCTGTTGTGCAGCATGGGAGAGCTAACCTCACTCTCTGACCACAGGAAAGCCTCTTTTTTGAGGATTATTGTTGAGTTGTCCTTCCCTTTATCAGCATCTCTAAGCTTTGTTTTTTGGGGGTGGGGGGGGTGTCACTTGGCATGTGGTGTGGTTGGGTACCGGCAGCATTTGTGATCTGCCAAGCTTATAGTGACAGAGGCAAGACTGATGCTGTGGTGTGTTTCCCCACCACCACATGCATGGGCATCCACCGTGGTGCTCTGTGTGGTTCTCCAGTCCAGTGGTGGCAAAGCGGGCAGATGGGGTGTCACACAGGGTCTGGGGGCACCTTGCGCAGGGGCTCCACACCCGTGGGGCATGAGCATGGCCCCAGCCTGCTCCCACTCTCTCCCTCTTTCCCTGGCAGATCCATTCAGACTCGGATGAGGGGGACGGCTCCATCAAGTACACCATCTCCGGGGAGGGTGCCGGGACCATCTTCCTCATCGATGAGATCACAGGAGATATCCATGCCACCGAGCGCCTGGACCGGGAGCAGAAAACCTTCTACACACTGCGGGCTCAGGCCCGTGACCGACAGACAGACCAGTTGCTGGAGCCAGAGTCCGAGTTCATCATCAAGGTGCAGGACATCAACGACAGCGAGCCACGCTTCCTGGAGGGGCCCTACATCGGCAGTGTGGCTGAGCTGTCCCCTGTTGGTAGGTCTCCTGGGCAGCAGGGGGGAGGGAAACTTGTGCCTCCCCTGTCAAGCCTTGAGCCTGCTGTACCCCACAAAACAGGCTGCAAATAGCATGGATTCCAGCAGAAACCAGAGCCGGGGAGCCAAGAGGGACAAATAAATAACGTAGCTTAAGGAAAACAAGTGAATAAATCCTCTGAGCTGATTGCCAGCCTGTGGCTGTGCGCTCAGTCTCAGCCCTAAGCTGTGCCCTGGAGATGGATCAGGGAGGTGGTGGCTGCCCACTGTGCCTTTGCCCTGCCTTTGCTCAGCCCCTGGCTCCTGGATGCTGTGGACAGGGGATGGCAATGAGCCCTTGCATGCCAAGGGGCCCACAGCAACCTGTGGTTTGGATTAACCTGGGTGTCTTCTCTCCTGCTCTGCCTGGCTGTGCCCTAGCCCCTCCTCCTGCACAGTGCAGCTTTGCTGCTCACCCAGAGCCCCATGGCTGCCTGGCTCTTCCCTTGAGCATCCCTATGCAGTGCTGCTGAGCCCTCTTGACTGATTTCTGGCTTTCCTCCAAGAGGCCAGGCATTGCTGAGATCAGGGAATTCATGCCCGATGTGATAGAAGAGTGCCTTCCTCTGTGCTACCACTAGCCTGCCCTTCCCCCTGCTGCCAGGTATCTTTAAGCCTGCTGATCGTCAGCCTGGATGGCATGCCGAGCAGTAGGAGGCTGGGACAGATGCTGTGAGGCTGCATGAGTCCATCCCCCAGCAGCGCTGGTAGGGGCAGTGAGCTTTGCACTCTCCTGAGCGTTGAGAGGGATACAGGAAGGCTATGCTGCACCACTGCCCTTAGCCCCTGTGCTGGCCCACCAGTGGGTCCCCAGGCTGCTGAGAACCGCCGGGGGAGGGGGGACACTGCCCAGCCCCAGGATATCACTCTGTTCTCTGCCCTCATCAGGTTGTTATCCCCCATCGATGAACCAAAATGCATAGCAGACGGTGTGTGCAGGCATGCGCTTCAGCAGGGAACTATAAATCACTGTTCTCTGAAGGCTGTGTCAAGGTAAAAGGCAGCCTGCAAAAGACTGACTGGCATCAAAGATAAGGCAGGTTGCCCAGCATTGCGAGCAAGGGATAGACAGGAGAGTGATGGTGGTGGGAAGGCAGCACGCAGCAGATAGGAGAGCCCCTGGGGAGCAGAGCTGAGCTGCACAAGGGACTGGGCAGGTTGTGTGAGTTGCTGGGTGCTACTGTGTGCATGCAGAAAGACCTGGCCAAGGGGGTGTCCTGGAAGCTGAGCTCGGGGGATGCTGCTTGGGTCAGCACTGCCTCAGGACAGAGCTCTGGCTCTCTACAGTTAATGTGCAGTATATTGTGAGGGTGGTGCATGGCCTCCAGCAGCTACAGAAGTGCAGGAATTGCCCGCACCAGGAGCCGCTGTTGCCTGGGTTGCTGTTGGTGGATGGGAGAGCATATTCTCATGAGGCATCCCAAGCTCTCCATCCTCTTTCATTTACCTTCACAAATCCTCTCCTGAGTCAGATGGTGACCCCTTGAACTATAGCCATGTGCTCCTGGAGAAATGAAAGACAGCATGTGGGCAGCAAAGCAGGAAGCATCCTGTTCCCAAAGGGAAGAAAGAAATTAAATTAATCTATTTTGCTTGAACAACTTTTAAAAAGGAAGGAATTCTCGACTCTGAGTATTAGACAAGGATCCCAATTCTTTTAAAATCACTAACAATTATGGAGCTGCCTGATCACAGACTGATGTGAACAAGACATATCAAAGGAGACAGTTTCTATGCGAAATTGGAGATCAGAGCGAGAAAGAAACACGGTTTCACAACATGAAAGGAGGCAATTCCTGCAAATTAAAATACTCAGAAGTTAAAAGTAAAAAGAAGTGCTATGAACGGCGTGGGATGTGCTTCCAAGCTTCATGCTCAGAGAGGGGAGCTGGAGCCAAGAACCTGCTTACCAGGCTGCTGTCTCTCTGCCTGTGACAACCCTGGAGCTTTTTGTAGCTTGGCCAAACTGGGGAGTGTAAGGGCTGCTCTGCAGCAGCCTAGCCCTGGAGATGGCCCAGCTAAAAGGGCAGGAGAGCTTCACACAGCATCTTTAAATGGTGCTGCTGCACAGTCTGCGGTGCGAATGCAGAGCTGCAGCTGCTGCTACAAGTCCCCAGCTTCCTCCTGTTTTTCCTGCAGCTTATCAGTGCTTTGCAAAGGAACAGGTGGCACAAGGGATGGGACAGGCATGTTCTGTGAATGTTCAGAGGCTGCTGTGCTGCCCTGCACTGGCCCTGATGCAGAGTATGAGGTACAGGACACAGTGGGAGATGGGGCTGGTCATGGACCTGGGTGTTTGAATTTCAGGAAGGTGTGCAGATGCAAAACATGGGATGATGCCTAGGGCTGGGGAGGTAAAGTTGCCTCCTTGCCGCAGTGGGAGTACTCCTTTTGTGGTATCAAGGCTTGCTGCAGTTGTGATCGTGGCTTTTTTTTATAGTTGGTATTGGTAGTAACATTTGCTATCCCTGAGCTGGACAGATAATCTCCACTACACCCGAAGGGTATTTTAAGGAGAGTGAATGGGGAGCATGCCTTCACTGCCTTTCTGGATGTGGATGAATGCAGTCTCCTGCAGTGGTAGAGCAGCGCCAGGAAGTCTGGGTAGCTTGAGGACAGCTTGGGTTGACTTATATCAAGCTCAAAGCTTGGGGACCTGCTGGCAAGCATGTCTGGCCTCTGCTCCGTTTCCCCAGATCACCAGTGCCCCTGGTTCAGCTATGCTTTCTGCCGGGATGGCACCAACCTAGGAAGCAGGCCTATGCTTCAGTTCAGAGGTTTGTAGGGAGCTGCTGTTCATTCCTCATCTCTGCTGCTCTGCCCAGCCTGAAAAGTGAAGGGTGTGACCCCCTTCTTTGTGTCATGCTTCTGTCTTCCAGACCTCACTGGAGCTTGTGCCCAAGGGGGCACCAGGGGGTGCCCAAGTGGGCAGTTTTTGTTCTCACTGGAGGCAGCAATCAACCGCAGCTTCCCACTCCTTGGCGGAAGCACAGTCCCAGCTCTCAGAGGTGGGTACCTTCCTGGAGCATAAAGAGGAGTAAAACAAATACGGTCAGATCCGCTCTGTGACAGCAGGAACAGATCAAAGGACATCATTTGCATAATGAAGGAGTACTAATTGGGAGGGAAAGTCATTTGATTTCCCACTGCCTAAGAGGGAATAATAAATAATGAGAGAATTGCACAAACTCTTGAACTGTAGCTGGGAGTGCTTTGCAAGACATCTGTCCTGTGCTCTGCACTGGGACCAGGGCAGCATAATTTGGTCTCCTCCATAAACTCATCGATTCGCTGTGAACTTCTGCTTGAGACGATAAGACTCAAGGTGGAATGAAGGCCTCTTTGTTCCAGGATCTTATCTTGACAGTGGCCAAAAGTGGATGCTTATGGGAAAGCATTGCTGTCATGGATCAAAAAATGGCAGATGTAAGTTGGGTAGGATGGTAAGACGAGTTTAGGATGTGTAAGGGCAGAGGTGGTATTTGGAGCTAACCCCAGCCCATGGAGCCAGGCTGAGCCTATGCTATGCTCCTGGAAAAGGAGGTGGTGTTTCTGCACACACAGCACAGACCTGAGGCTGGCTTGGAGCTCCTGCACTTGGAGGAAGCACATGCAAAATGGAAACAGACCCAGCAGTCTTACTTAGGCTCCCTTGACATGGCAGGACCAGCTGCACGAGCAGCTTTAAATGACTTATCTCCAGAAACTTCACTGCTCTGGGGTTACTGGGTGTCAGAAGAGAGTATGCATCTGTTCTGCAGGTGGCAGGACTCTGCCCCTTCCCTCAGAGGCTGTCACAGACACTGACCAGCACAGTGCCAGCTGAGGTGGCTGTCGGATGCTGCTGTCAGGGTGCAGAGGATGAAGTCTGAGCTGGTGCTGTAGGAGGCTGTTCAGGGAGGGGAGAGGGCTCTGCCTGTCAGGCTGTGGGCTCTCCCTATGCAGTCCCAAGGGAGCAGAGCCCTGTCCTGCCTCTGGGCTGACAGCAGTGGCTGGAGGCGATGCACTGGGTTCACCTGGGCAGAGGAAGGCAGGGGCTCATAGTGCTGCCTGCGAGCATTTCTGCTAACTCCCCCTGTGTTCACCACTTGGTTGGTTTGCGCAGCTGCCACATGTACATTGGAATTGGCCAACTACAGTCCAGCTTTGGGATGGGACCTGAGCTGCAAATCCTGTTGCAGTCCCATTGCTGTCCTGTCACCGCAAGAAGAAACCATGGGCTGAGAGCTTGCAGGCTGCTGTGTCTGATGCCTGAGGCTCAGCCTCTCCTTGGACACCCTAATGCTGATCACTCTAAAGGCCTGAGTTGAGCAGAATCTGGTCTTGAAGGAGAAGACCTGCAGCTACAGAGGATGTAGAATGGACCCAGCCAACTGCCTGGGAATTGCAGGAGCTCCACCTTGTAATAGAATATGCTAAAATTAGCTGAGTTCTGGACTCCCTGAGCTCACTGGAGCGTGCTTAACAGCTGTCTGGTGTGCACAGGCATGAGCCCAAATCCAGAACACACTGCCTCCTGCAAGACATCCCTGCTGCTTGTACAGGGTGGGTGTTGTAGCCCAGAGCTCACTTTTGGGCTGTCTGGGGAGCATGCAGAGTCTGTAGGAGATGACATGCTAGGAAATGTGCATCCTTTCATTGGAACAGAATTCCTCCCTTGGTGCATTTTGCTCTCCTTATTTCTCTGGGTAGCACCAAGATTAGAGATGATTTGGCTGTGCAGACAGAAACTTGGGGTCAAGCCCTGGCTCCAGCACAAAGCTGGCTGAATGCAAAACTGATTATTGTGAAGAGAAATTGCTTAATCTCCACACTGGAAGCAGAAGAAAATACTTTGTTTAACATGCAGCCAGAACACTTGCAGGCAGTCTGATGGGTTTTTCTTAACAGAATGTGCTCAAAACACTTGTGTGCATCTGGCAGTGGCTGGGGCCGCAAGTGGGTACGAGCTGGGGGTAGTGGGGCAGTGCCCTGCCTGCTGGTCCTTGGTGAGAACACCTCTTTCCCTTCAGCACCTCACTCCAGTCATGGTGCAAGCTCTGAGCGCTCTGATCTGCACCGCTGAGCACCTGCTATACCCTCTCCTCCAGTCAGCATGGGCTGAGCCCCTCAGGGAAACTGTGCCCCAAGAATTTGATGTGCTGGTTTACTCCCCATGACACCATGCTTACGGCTGGGTGCCTTGTCCCACAGGTTTCTCAGGCCAGAGACACCTCAAAGGCTGTTTCCTTTGCTGTATGTTTGAGTAACTGTGCCACAGCCAGGGTTTGTCCTGAGGGATGAGGGCTCTGCAGCAAATCCCCCCGGGCCAGGCTTGGCTTTCTACCAATCAGGGCATTCCTGAGACTGCCAGATGCTCATTTCTGCTCCAGTAGTTTTTAAACTCTGGTTTATTTTCTTCCATGATGTTCTCCTGGCTTGCTTCTGGGTTGCACCAGCCACTGCATGTTCTGGGACAAGGTGAAAGCTGTAAATCGTACAGTTTATAGAATTGGAGTTGCCCCTTTTAGAGCATCCAGGGCCCTCAGATGGGAGTGCTGCCCTCTGGCATCAGTCCCTGGGTATGTGGGATGACATGCGCATGACAAAGTGTTCTTCTCAGGGACCTTTCTATTCTGTATGGCAAGATCTGCACAGGAAAGGTGATCGTGGCATGGAGAGGAGCACGGGTGAGCTGTCACCTGGGCCCGGAGCCTGGCTGTGTGTCCGTACCTGGGAAGTGGTGCAGTCCTGAGCACTGCCCTTCCTGGCCTGGGCTGGCTGTGGTCCTGGGTGGGTTTCCAGGTGGGTGTGGGAAGGGGACCGACCCCGACAGGTCTGTGGGACCGGAGGCTGGAGTGACGGTGTGCTGTGCCCTCGGGAGGTCTGTCCCTACGCCACTGTAGGCAGCTCTCGGAAGTGAGGGTCTTGGCCCCTTGCTGGGGGAATGCAGCTTGGTCTGCTGTGCCAGACTGCATCGTTGCAACAGGAGAGCAGGAGACAGATGCTATACAGATCATTAATTTTTATGTAAAATTGTTGGTTTCCTCTGGTTCCATGGGATGAGAGGGTCAGGAGAGGAACTGAGGTCTTTATCTCATCTTACATGTTTAATTAGTTCTCTGGATATGAGTTCAGGATTCATGCTTATGGGATGTGGGTTATGCAGTACTTGATGGATGTTTCGATTTTTTCTGTTGCCTCTTTTATGGCTAAGGCACATGCCATAAAACTAAATACGTTGTACACTCTGTACCTGCTGTGGGCAGTGCTATGCTTGGAGAGCAGGGATGGGAACCAGTGTCCTCTTTGGGTCGCTCCCTCAGGAGGGAGCGGTCAGGCCTTAGTGGTTAAACTGGAGCTTCAGACCTTTGATCTTCAGCTCAGAAGAGAAGGGGAAGGAAAGGAGTGGAAAAAAGGGGGTGGTAGTAGTGGTAAGAGAGGGTGCTGGAAAGTCACGCTCTTAGATTCCCGATATCCTGTGAGTGACCTTGAGCAGGCTGCATTGCACCTTTGTGCCTTGACTTCTAGTCTGCCAAGTGGGGTTGATGTTACCTATCTGTCCAGTATCACTTGTCTGTTAATGAGATGCTGTGTAAGCAGGTAGGGAAGAGCACAACCTTCATCACCTTCAGGGCTGCTGGCTTCAGCTCAAGGGCACCATGCCATGATCCTGCTGCCTCTGAGCTGAGGGTGCCTTCCTGCAATGCTTCTCATGCTGCTTGGCTTCCCCTCATGCTGGAGTGGAAAGCACAGGTCCCGGACATAGTGCTTGTGCTGCAGACTGGGCAAGCTGAACCTGCTGCCCTGTGGCTCCAGTGCTTGGGAGCACCCAGCAGTGAGAGATGCTCCCCTGAGCCAGGAGCCTTCTGTGCTGGTGCTGGAGAATAGAGAGCAGCCCACCTGCCTGTCATCTTCATGGCCTGGCTTAAACCACAGAAATGAAACCCACCTCTGGGTGGGCATGGACACACCACAGATTCATTGAAGGCATCAAAGCATAAATAAGTCAACTCAAAGCAGCTTGTTGCTGAAGACTGATTAAGGGGGTTCTCGTGTTATCAGCAGAGTTTCAGCTCTGAGAAGATGGCCAGAGAGGATGAAAAGCAGCAATGATAACTGATTATTTTCTTCAGTAAAGCCCTTTCCAGGATATCAGAAGTGAACTGTACTGGGGGGATCATGTGCATCCCTGCTGCTTGTGGCAGCTCTTTCCTTTGAGCAGCTCAGGGCTCTTCTCCCCATCCTGCCTCTCAACCCACCAGAGAGGTGACTGGTGCCAGTGCTTGTATTCCTGGGCAGGGATGTGCTCAGTCTGCTAGTACTGGAGGTGGAACATGAGTAGCCTGTCCCTCAGGTCTTCGGTCACATCATCTCCTTTCTCAGGGGTGTCTGTAGATAAGATTAAGCTTCTCCTTGTTCCTCCCTTTTGTTGCCTCTGAAGACATTAGCTCCTTTGCTTATGACCCAGTTCTCAGGTCCTGGTTCCTACTTTTGTCAAATTGAACATGATGTCAAAATAAAGCCATCACAGGGGCAGTTGGAGGGAACCCAGTTTAATGAGGCAGGGTTGAAAAATCAGTAACTTAATTGCAGACATTTGAAGGGCTTTTATTCAATTTATGGTCCTTCTGCCCTTCTACATGTAGAGCATGAGGATGTGGTGCAGTGTCTGGTTCTGGTTCAGCAGACCCTCATGGGTCTGTCTGGTGCAGAGATGTGGCACTGCAGTGGGGACCAGGGCCTGGCCAGAAAGTTCCTCTGTGGGCCGGAGGTGACCGTGTTGCTCAGTACTGACAGAAAAGGGGAAGCTGTGGTGGTAACTTCTCATACCCAGCTCTTTCCCAGAGGGCCCAGCAGAGATGTCTTCTGGGTATGCCAGGTGTTCAGATCAGTGATGTGGAGAGCACATCCTGCCCAGACAGCAGCCCTGAGGTGGTCCATGGTCCAGTCCCTCCTGCTTCTCTGCAGGACAAAAGGGTCCTTTCTAGAAGGGTCCAGATTTCTGGATGTCAGTCCTTTGGGAGGGAGGTGGTGCTGCCTTTGCACACAGCTGTTCTGCTTGCTTTCATCAGAATGTGTGAGTGGTCAGTGTTGGCCCCCACTCTTCTATCCTGACAGCTCCCTGGCCCCAAGGTTTGTGCTGCTCTTCTCATCTCCTCCCTGACTTTGTTTTTGTTCTTGTCCCTGCTGCAGGCACCTCTGTGATGCAGGTGATGGCATCTGATGCTGATGACCCCACATATGGGAGCAGTGCCCGGGTAGTCTACAGTGTGCTGGAGGGCGAGCAACACTTTACTGTGGACAGTAAAACAGGTGAGCAGCATCCAGCAGCACCCAGCTGAGAGCAGCAGGAGACCCTGGCCAGGTGTCCTGCATTGCACTACGCATAGTCGTATGCCACCAGGCTGAACTTCTCTGAAGGCTGTTGGTGCTGGGGTACCCATGCACTGGCGTTTGCACGTGTTGGAGAGGGAGAATCGCCAGCCCAGCCGGCTGCTGCCCAGCTCCATACAGCACCCACAGCAGGCAGCGCTGTGTCAGCCCAGTGTGCCCTGCCTGTGCCTGCACTGGGCACAGCTTCTCTGTGCTCAGTGCCCAGAGCAGAGTATACCTGTAGGCATGTAAAATCTGCATGAAAGGTTTAAGTACTACCGGAGGGGCCTTATCAAAGGCAGCGTTGTTATCGCCAGGGCTTTGATTAAAGGTAACACTTTAATTTAAGGATCGGTTTATAAATGTTCTATTAATATTTAATGAAAGAACAGTGGAAGCTGATCCATTCCTTAATAACTTATAATAGAGCCTGTTGTAAAATGCATCTTTAATAAATCCCTAGCAGATGATGCTCTGACATACTGGTTAGAGTAGACCATAACCAAGAGATGTTGGGGTATATATTCTCCTTGCCTCCCAGGAGTGTGACTCTCATTACCCTTAATGGGAGCCTTGCAAGCTTGCTGAGGAGGGAATACACTCAAATGCTAATAAGAGGTATTTAAGGCACAAAGCATGCAGTAAAGTACCCACAGTTTAATCAAAAATTGTCAGAGGACAAGCAGGCTGAGTAGCTGCAGCTCTAGTTGGAAAGCTGGACAGCAAAGTCCCCCCACCCTGTTGTGGCTGAGATCAGCCCCTTGCCTGAAATGCTACATCTCTGTTGTGTTGACCTGTCTCTAGTAATAGAGATTTTCTAAGGCTATTTTTATAGGAGTCAGAGTGAAATTTGTTGAGAGACTCTGCCGTAAGGGAAGTGTAAGGAAGGTACACGTGCCTCAGCCTCTGCATGTGTGAAACCCAGTATCTCCTGAAATCCATCTGGTGTGTATGGGCCTGATAGCCAGAGCCTGTTTGCAGCTGGAGGATTGCTCAAACCTGAGGAGTGCCTAAGCATGCTGGACAGCAGGCAGGGGTCTGTGATGGCAAGTGTTATTGTCTGAGGCCAGGAGAGTGCATGAGCTAGGGCTGCACCTGCTGCTAGCCTGGGAGCTGCTGCACCTGGGCTTTCTTCTCTCACAGAACTTCTTTTTCTTTTTAATGGTGTGTATAGAACAATGGACTAGACACTGAAAACTCATGTGCATGTGGGATCCTGCTAGTCTGAGACAGTTTCATGCAAGTGGAAGCTGAGAATCAGGCTGCTAGAATGAAGAGGGACCACTGGGAGCAAAATGCACAAGCCAGGACGTGCAGAGGCTCAGCTTCCAGCAACAACATTAATGCTGCTGTATTAAGGCATAAACTAAAATGTGCCCTGTGGGACTGTGGTGAGAATTAATGTCACTCCAGGAATCCAAGCTTCTTGATTCCTTGACTTTTTGTATCTTAATTCTCAAACTGGCTGTATCGTATGCTGGCTGTTTCATACACTGGGTGGGTTGATTTACCATTCTACTTGCTTGCGACTCATAAGAGCAAAACTGCTGACAGTCTGCAGAAGCATCCTCGGCCTCTTTTGAGCAAATCTGTTTCCAGAATACCTGACCACTGAGTATATACCGGGACTGACTCTTTCATGATGTCTAAGCTGTGAAAAGCCTCTCACGGAGGCCTTGCCTGGGTTCCAGGAATGCTCTGTGCAGCTCTGTCTGCTGTCTGCTGGGGATGTGGTTGCCGTCTGTCCTGCACTGCCTGTGGCTTCATGGCAGTACAAGCTGTCTGCCCTTCTGTCAGTGCTAGCATGCATGGCTGCACTGCTGGAGGAAGCAGGGACAGGACTGACTGTGCTAAACCAAATGTCTCATCCTGTCTGCCTTTGGCACCAGCTAGGAAATAGAACTTCCACCTGAGCAAACCCCATCCTGTTCCTGCTCTGAACTTGAATATGTTTTTAGTGCTCCACTTGGGAATCCTGGCCTAACCACTCTGGGTGGCCAGGCTTCTGCCCTAATCATAAGATTTAATTATCCATAGCTTCAGCATAACTCTCAGAGTCACCATTGTTATTAATGACCATTAAAAAAAATAATAATGGAGTGTTACATTTCTTATAATATGTGATAATGAAGAGCAATTTGTTTTTCCCTTTTGATTTTGACCTCCTCCACCTTTTTTTGCAGGTCCATACATGTATGTGCTCCCTTGCACCCCATAAGCCTCTGATTCCTTCAAACTCAGGTTCTCTTTTCCTTCCTTATCTGTGCAACCAGCTCTTCTCATGCTGTCCTTCATAATGTAGGTGTTGCATGTGTGAGTGTGGTTTGCACACTTAGGTATGCAATACAAGTTGTGTGTGGGTTGCTTAGCTTGTCTTCCGTTCCTGGACATTACTAGCTTTGGTATGTGTCTGGTATTTCAGATTTGACTGGGGTTTCGAAGGCAGGACCAAAACTGCCTGGATGCCCAGAGGAGAACATTATGTGGAGTCCTGAATTCCCTCAGTAAGCCCGAATTCCTGTAATCTCTTGGAGTCTTTTAGGAGGGAGACAAGAAACTAAACGGCCCCACTGGAATAGGGGGAACTGAGGCATGGTATGTGCTGGTGTCTGCAAAGCTTTGGGGAATGATTCTCATTCCTGCAGTGGCGGAATGGTGAAGTAATCTGATCCAGTTTTGATGGTGGCCTGCTCTGAGCCATGGTTGAAGCACAGACCTCCTGAGTCTCCTTCCACGGGTGTTACTTCACAACGGATGTGTCTTTTCACTTTGTGGCAGGAGACATGCTGGTCCAGACTGCCCTCAGATGGAAGGTGCCTTGCTCAGAGGGCCTCTGAGGATGTGGACATCTGAGCTAGAAGTATTTCACACCAGAGTAAAGCCCATGATTATTAGATTCCTGTAAGGCAGTTACCTGCTGAGTGCTTTGTCCTGCTTTGGTTTTATCACCCAAATAGTGCTGGCTATTGGGCAGATTTGGTGGTATTTTGTGTGCTGTTGTAAGTGTCCCCTTGCTGGCTAATTACACTGATTAATTTGGATCATGCTAGAAAGCCACATGTGCCTTGTACCCGAGGGTGTGCCACTACATGTCTGTATTATTCAACTATAATAGATGCTGACAAGAACTAGGGAGATGAGTCTGAGATGGAGGTTGTCCTTGCTTTGTTGGCAGTGTCTGGGAAGGAAGATGTTTGGCAGTTCTTCTGTCTGGAAAGAGGGTGAATCTCCAGTTTCTTGGTCCTTGTCTCTTCTGTCTCTGTTTTGAAAAAGGGGGTCTGCCACCATCTCTTACTGTTTCTTTTGTAGTGTCCCTAGGGGGTCATGGCTTATCTGGCTGTAGGAGATGAGACCATGTGAGTTTGATGCTCGTAGGTATTTGTGCCAGCATTCATGGTGCCATATGCAAGGAGTTGGTGTGGAGTAGGTTTGGAGACCCTGATTTGCCAAGGCCATTAACATGCGGTAAGTGGCACCACAGCACAAAAGATAAAAACAGCCTGATAGGCTAGTAGTAGCCTGGTGTGGCCTGTGTGACGTTAAGGGGAACAGCTTTCTCAGTGACAATCCTGCTGGGGTTCACGGAGGCCTGAAGCAAGGGGAATTCAGCTACATCATTCCCCCACTTTTCCAGGATGGGCTGGACGAGCAGTGCATGTCTTGGCAGGAGGTGCTTTCTGCTGACAGTCTGCACCTCTGGCAAAAACAAGGATTTTGTCTGCCTTGTGCCACTAGAAGGACCAGTGCCGGTTGGGACCATTTGCTGTGCTCTGCACATGCCAAATGGCCCAGACTTGCTCCCTGCTGGGACAGGCGACCTTGGCAGTGTACTGGGAAGTGCCTGAGCACTACTCCCATCTTGCATGGGGTATTATGAGCTATATCATTATGAGCAGCTCACTTAAGTCATTACAGCCTTGGTGAATACATGAGCTTTTTCCCTCTCATCCCAATTCATCACTATTGTGCTGACATGAATCATTTTCATTATAAAATGCTTCAGACCCTGTTAATTAACAGAATTGCTTAAATTTCAATGAGATGGTGCTTGCCCAGAAATAACGGCTTTATATTCCTAGCAGAGCGACAGGAAAAGCCTATAAACACGACCAGCTGAGGCCAGTCCCATGCAGCCCCTGGGCAATGGGCACCTCTGTAGGGCCAGCCCTGCTGCTTGCAGACTGCAGGTTGCAGTTCTGCCAGGATGCCTGCCTGGAGGTGCGTTCACCCCTTTGGGTGAGGCAGGGTGGGACTCCTGGCCAAATGGCTGCATCTCAGCAGACCCAGGAGGAAATGAGCAACCAGTATAGACCATTGGCACATCACAAGGCAAACACCCGCTATACCCTGCAGAGGGGCTGGGATGTTCCCTAGCAGGAGCTGGACAGTGCCCTGAGCCGCCTCTGATGGGTGTGCTGATGAGGAGCGTGGACCTCGTTGAAAGAGCAATAGAAGGGCTGAGGATTACCCCAGGGTGTGAACCAGCAGTTGCTGGAAGTACCCAAGAGGTGGTGGGTGAGGCAGAGCCTCCCATTGATTCATGGGGCTCAAGGCAGTGACAGTCCAGGCAGTTACAGAACTGATGTGACAGAGGGACTGGAGGATGCTGAGTGAAATTTTGCCTGTCCATAAGAGCCAGGGAGCTGCAAGGATCCAAAGCAGTGGTGATGTCTTTATAATAAATCCTAACAATGGTAATTGTTGGAATAATTGCTAGTTTCAGAACGCAAGGAGAGATAAATGTCTACAGAACAGTGTTGCCAGCTACTGCTGCACCTGTAATGTCATGCAGAGGAGGAAAAAGATATTTTCTTTCTTCCAGCTCAGTACTGTTTGTTTGACTACCTTTGGGCCACAGCACCAGTGGCTCCTTGGTGTGTCTTTGGTGAGGCAAGTGGCTTGGGCAGCTGCCGTACACTGCCATCACTTGCTTTGTGGCATGAGGCAAATGTCTTGCAAGTCCCATGAGGATTTGGGTGAACCTCTGCTGTCCTTATGGCACAGGTGGAGTTCCTCAATCCCACCAGGATGCACCCCATCACTGGAGGCTACATAGGACACAGCTGGGCATCCCCATCCCACATCATCCCTGATGCCAGGCAGGGTTGTTGGTGAAACAAAGCAAAGGAGGATTTTGCAGGGCTCATAATAAGAGGAGGTAAAGCTAATAGTTAAATGGGAAAGCCTGGAAGAGAGCAATTACAAAAACCTAAAGCAGTGTCTAAATCTGGAGGAATGTTACGAAACTGAGCTGGAGGGGATTTTAGGCTGATCTCTGGCTGTTATGGGCTGTTGCTGGGGTAGTTGGACTGGAATGTGTACATGAATGCAAGGTTATTAGCAGCATGTCCCATGTGTGCCCCTGGTGCCACCCAAGGGCAGTCACTTTTTTCTTTCATTCTCAAAATGTTTCTTCTGTGCTTTGTTTCCATGTAAATGAAACATCGTGGCTGACAAAAGAAGTTGTCTTCTGCCATTCTCAGTATTCTCTGGGTTTCACTACTCCTTCCTTCCTGTTTTACATTCCTGTATATTTTGATCCGGTCACTTCTCCAAGCCCAGATGAATGATGACCTGTAAAGACTTTTTTAGATCTCATTTCATAAAAAGCACTAACATACCATATATATATATTTTTTTTTTTTTGCTTTAAGGTCTCTAGTATGACCTCGGCCTCTGGTACATAGGGCATGTAACAGTAGCATCTTCAGCCTCTTTAACTTAGAGGGACACTTCAAAATGAGGGGTTTTGTGCAGCCATACTCTTGGAAATACCCTGACCCTGATTCTCCAGCTATCCTATTCTTCGTTCAGGTGTCGTCCAGGCATGCATGGGCAACTGGGCACACATGAAGTGGAGCCAGGTGCTGCTGTTCTGTATTGAGTCGATGACTGTGAGTGCCCGGGGTGCGTGCATGCCACCAGCACGCGGCCCCTCGGCAGGAGCCATCTGCTGCCCTCAGCCCGTCCTGGCAGCCACAGGACCGGTGCGTAGAGCCACCAGTATGGGGAGAGTGACTGGGGTGGAGGCCGGCCAGGCAGGCAGAGGACATGGGACCAGCTCTGCCCTCATCGCCCTTGTCCCATCCGTGCTGCTTTGCTCTGCAGCAGCTGCTCCTCCTGTGGCTCCAAGCTGTGCGCGTCCTCCTGCGGCTCCTGTCTGAGCAGATAAGGATAAGTGGGCTGCCGCGGATTTGTGCCAAAGGGCTTTCATGACTCAGCTGGGGCTTCTACACAGCCGCCTTCTGCAAACCTTGCAGCTGGCCCCAGCACCTCTGGCCCCTGCCAATCCTTCACCTGCTCCTGGCCTCCCTGGGGGGAAGCAAAAACTTCCTCCAAATGGAAGTTTAACCCTGTTGGAGCTACTGACAGCCCCCAGTAACTGCAGCTAGGCAGGGACCTTGTGTGATAGGAACCTGCGAATTGGCCATTGAGACTTGTGGGGATTGGGTTGGTGGCCCATGGAGGCCAGGTGCCAGGAGGGTGGGTTCAGTTTGTTTCTGCCTGGTTGACAATTCCCTGTACTTGGTCCTCTCTCCAAAGCACATTTCTCCCCTTGGTCAATTTTTACTTGTGTGATCTCTGTGAAGGCTGCGAAGGAGTTTGCTTGCTCCAGGGCCCAGCAGATGCTGTCTTTAGCAGCAGATGCTAAATGTGTCCTTATGGAAAAGGCAGCCAGCAGCACCTAGAGCTGCCTTATGAAGAGCATCACCAGCAGTCAGGGGAGGTGTGCTTTCTTTCTACCTAGCACTGGTGAGATTATGTGAATGCTGTGTCACCTCCAGGGCTGCCAAATACAAGAGAGACGGGGGCGTACTGGAGCAGTCCAGAAAAGAGGAATGAAAATTAGTGAAGTATTCGATAATCTGCCACACAAACAGAGGCTGGGAAATCTAGCTGGCCCTGCTTTGACACAGGGCTTGGACTAGGCAATCCTCCAGCAACGCCTTCTCTGTGATGTGCCTGCACTCATGCTGTCCTGCCAACTTCCAGGTGTGATCCGGACAGCTGTGGCTGACCTGGACCGTGAGACGCAGGACCGGTACGAGGTGGTGATCCGTGCAACAGACATGGCCGGACAGTTGGGTGGCCTGTCCGGATCCACCACAGTCACCATCGTGGTCACTGATGTCAACGACAACCCACCACGCTTCCCTCAGAGTAAGTCCTGACAGCAGTAGGGACTGAGCACCTGATCCCAGTCCCTGTGGGTGGTGGGACAGAAGTTCGGCTCGTGGCACGGCCTGGCGTATGGGTGCAGGCGGGCTGGCCCTGCTGCTTGGGCTGTGTGCGGGGCAGCAGCACCAAGGCACTGTAGTGTGCAGAACTGTGTGCCTGGTTCTGAACACAGCCCTGCCTAACAGTGTGATGGAGGGGCAGCTCCCTTGGCTGAGCCTGCCCAAGGCCCCAGGAAAGAGCGGGGCTGTGTGGTGGGGAGAGCAGGGATAATCCCTCCTTGACCCCCTCTTTGGGCAGTGCTGCAGGAGATGGTGGTGCTGGGCCACTCTGGCAGCCTGATCTGTCCTGCTGCTTTCTTCCAGGGGCTTGGGCAGGGACTTGGGTATTGGCTGCTGGCCTGACCCCTCCTGGCTGCTGCCTCAGGGCTTGGCACCTTCTGCCAGAGCAGGAGGCATCGTGACACTGCCTGACACCCTGACAGCAGTGTGGTCACCAGACAGCCCTTTTATCCAAGTCATGGCCAATGGCCTGTGGCTTGTTCTTGTCTTCCCCTGGGACTCCCCGAGTGAATTGGTGATTCTGCTGCGAAGAGTGGGTTGTGCAATTTCTGCATTGCACAGCAGCCGCAGAGGGTGTGAGCACATGGCTGACAGACTAGAAAGAATGCTGCAGTTGGAGGAAGCTCAGCTCTTAGCTGCTGCTTCTAGAAATTAGAAATGGCAAAATTTGCACAGAATTGGAGAACACTGATTGCAGGGCAGTGCAACCAGAAAGAAACTGAGAAACCACCCTTTTCTTTACCTGGCTCTTCAAAACCTTAGTGCTCTCCGGTTATCTTCCTGCAGGCCTTGTTTTTGACTGGGGTTTGTGTTTTTGTGTGGTAGGGCATTCTGGACTATAGATACTGGTAGAGTTTGGGCAGCCCTTGTGGCCCCAAGCAGGCATGCAGATGGGCATACCCGAGTAGAGAGGGCACAAAGGCAGGAGCTGTGACCTGGTGCTTTTCTCTCCTCCAGAGATGTATCAATTCAGCATCGTTGAAACTGCCCCTGTGGGCACCGCCATCGGGAGGGTAAAGGCAGAGGACTCTGACGTCGGGGAGAACACAGATATGACGTATCAGATGAAGGATGAAGAAGGAGTGGAGATGTTCAAAGTTACCACAGACAGCAATACCCAAGAGGCTGTTATCACAGTACAGAAGGTGAGAGAAGGAGAGCTGGTTGGATAGAGGGAGGGCAGGGATCTCTAGGGGGACCTTTTTATTTGGGGACTCCTGCTGATGCATTTGAGTTGAAATAAATTCTCTTCTGAGTGCTGCTGTAGAAGTAGCAGTTGCGTTTTTGTGCTTGCAGATACAGGGAGAGACCTGTTCTGCCTGGATGGCAAAGCACAGACCTGTGTCTAGGAGGAAAGGCTGAAAAGGAGCAGCAGTGTACTGCCTACAGGAGCCTGGCACAGCACAGCTCCCAGGGCTGTGAAGCGAGCAGTGTTTGGGTGAAGCTGTGCACAGGGCAGTGGAGACCAGTGCTTACAGCTGTTATTGATAGCACCTGTTAGGAAGAGGAATATGCCTGTTTAATTCCCATACCTGATCAACAGCACTTTGAGTCTATCTGCTTTAGCAGCAAAAACAATCAAGCAAATACTTGTTACAGGCAAGAAAAAAATTATTATTCACCAAGGCCACTGCATTCAGCTCCCTGCCTCTGTAGAAATAATCACAGGGTGATTAATGATCCAAAACCATTCACTTGCCAACGTGCAGTCTGCTGTCTTCTTGATGGGTTTTGTCTGGGCACCCAGTGGGGTCTCCCTGGGAAGCAGGCTGGAGGTTTCCTCTTCTTCCTGCTCCCCTTGGTGTGGGTGCTGCTTGTGGGAGGGCAGAGTGTGGGTGCAAGAGCTCACGGGCCCTTTCTGGAGAGCAGACTCCAGCGCTGCCACAAAGTCTGCCGAGCAGAGGCCTGCGAAAGAAGGGGCAGTGACAAGGGCTCCTTGATCGGGATGTGGCTAATTCTCTCCTGTTGTCTCAGCCTCTTGACTATGAGTCAAAAAAAGTGCACACCGTCGTGGTGGAGGCCCTGAACAAGTTCGTGGACCCACGTTTTGTGGACCTGGGCACCTTCCGGGACCAAACCATCGTGCGGGTGTCTGTGCTGGATGTCGACGAGCCCCCTGAGTTCCGGCCCCCCTCCAATCTGATGGAGGTCCAGGAGGATGCACAAGTTGGCTCTGTCGTGGGGGTGGTCACTGCCCTTGACCCTGATACAGCGAACCACCCTGTCCGGTAAAGCATCTGCTTAAACTTCGCATCCTCTTCCTTTCCTTTTAGCAGCAGGCATGGGGTCACCTGCAAGGGATGGTTGTGGCTGGAGGGCTCACGGCCATCACCGGGGTGGAGGGGAGGCAATGGGAGAAGTGGAGGGGCAGAGCAGGTGAGGGTGATGAGCACTGTGCATGTGCGGGGCTGGCAGTGAGTGGCAGTCTGCACGCAGGTACAGGCAAGCTAGAACAGCCATCTTGCAGGTGACAGACACGTCACTGGCAAGTGACAGGTTTGCAATTGTCAGGGGAGTGTCAGGGAAGGTGGCGGGGTGATGCTTGCGTGTCCTTGCTGCTGACAGTGAGGCATCTGCAGCGCTGCCTGACACTGGCCAAGCAAGCAACCAGAAATGACAGGCAGGTAGTGATGAAGAATGATAAATGAGGTGAGGCTTGGGAAGTGCGGAGCTAGAGCTTAGTTCTCTGTGTGTGTGTGTGTGTGTGTGTGTGTGCATGGGGATGAAAGATCAGAGGAGTTTATATTTGGGCAGGGGACATAATCCAGGCAGCAGCTTATCTGCACAGGACATTTCCCATTTCCATTTAATTTGTGGCTAAAGAGATTGTTACCTTGTTAAATTGTTATTACCTAAGGCACAAAGCAGCCTTCTGGCTCTGCCAACTGGCCTGAGTCATGAGCAGTTGGGATGAAAAGCTAGTGTTCTGAAAACATCCTCAATATGTGGAAAATTTCCTTGAAATGTGTGTTCTCATGCCAGGTGATGGTGGGGCTGCAGGCACTTTGTGCACAGCCGCTCACTTCAAATGAGTTGCAGTGGCTTTGCATTTGAGAGCTCTGTATGGAGCCTGTCCCTGTCAGTGATAAACTGGGACATGTTGGGGCTTTGGGATAGCAAGGGAGGGCTTGGGTACTGTACCAATCCCACTGATGGCATCCCTGCATGGCTGCTTGGGGTGCTGTGTTGACTGCAGGGGGGGAGTGTGTTAGTTCAGGGTGGGCTGGGGGGCGTTTCCAGGTCTTCAAGATCAAGATATATAGAAAGCTCAGAGAAGATTCTGCAAATGGAAAACTGCTATCTACAGATGCCTGGCAGCTAGCAGATGGTATTGTGTCAAAGTTGGGTGCTGAAAGTTGTCTTTGGGGTAAGGGACTCAGCCTTGGCACAGAATGAACTGTGTATGTGAGCATGCAACACTTGCACTGTTGGTGCTATCTGTTGGATGTGTTCTCAAAGCGCCTACATGCACCTTGGCTTATTGGTTCCCTTTTCCTTCAGGCTACGTCTGATTTCTTCTTTCTTCGTGGCCTGCCCTGAGCACATGGCTGTTAGCTTGTGCTCATCTGATGTGTGCGGTCTTTCTACGTATCTGTGTGTGTGTGTACACATGTGCCTGTACTTTTCCACTGGAGTGTTTCTAGCAGTGCTACAGAACATACATTTTACTTTCTGATCTGTAATTGTAGGAAAAGTGCAATGGAGACAGAACTATCCTTCTTCTCGTTTTCTCTTGTTCTTTATGCTGTTTCCCCGTGGAGTTTGTTGCCTTGTTTGCAGACAGAACAAAAGAAAGCAGAGAGGCTTTCTACCACTGTGCAGAAGGTGATGAGGACTTGGAGCAGAGAGAAGCAGATTCAAGTACTCAGTAGGAGCAAGAGCATTACAGGCCAAACTTTACTCTACACGCATCTCTGTCTTACAGAAAGCATAGTGCCAGGCAAGGTAATGACTCGTGCTGAGGCATGAGGGCATGGCCAGCAGGACCCCTGGGCATCTACTGCAGCTTGGGAATTGCAACGTGATTTTCCTTGTCAGGCACGATGTACTTGAATCTGTGCCCCTCTGCCTCTAGCTGTCCCCAGGCAGATAGTTCATCCTGCATCCCCTGGCTCCCCTGCGGCAGTTGGTCTCCACCTGGCCCTCTCTCCACTCACCTCTGTTCTGGCAGTGCCTGCTGGCACGAGGGGCGGCCAGTCCATCCTCCTGTGAGGCTCCCTTGGCACTTGCCTGGGTAGCGCGGGTGGGTGATCCTTCCCTGCTGTTCCCACACGTGCTGCGTGGAGCTGCAGGTTGCTGCTGGTGTGGCACCAATGCAGGAGGAAGGCACTGTTTGATCTCTCCCACTTTCCTGTCCCCTGGCTAGCCATGTAGTTTAATAAAATACTTTGCTACATAGGCAGCCGCTCACAGCTTCAAAGTGGTGCACAAACATTAATGCAAGCATCCTGCCGTGCCCCGCCAGGATGTGACACTAGCCCGTCAGCAGGAGCCGGCAGTAAGTCACCTCACATTTCAAGTGTGCTACTCAGAGTACAGTCGCAAGAAGCCAGCACTTGTACTTCACCTCTGTTACATTAGAGAGCAACCGGTCCTGACAGCATGACCAGCATTTGATCCTCAGCTCCTTGAAGCTGGCGTGAACCCTTTCAACTCTTTGCAGTTCAGTGGATCCCTGTAACTTCCTGATCCTCCTCTGCTAGAGGTGGGAGCAAAAACGTGGCTGTGTTTCTGCAGAGGCTGCTGTCTGCTGGACTCTGCTCTGTTGGCTCTGCCATGTGAAGAGAGGAGGGCCACCACCTTCTGTCATGATGAGGGGCACTCTCCCCTTGAGGCAAGAAAGAACAAGGATCACCAGAGACAGCTGAGCAAAAATCAGCTCTGTCAGCATTTCCAGGTCCTGCTGACACCAGGCTGCCAATAACGAGGTTTTGGAAGTATTTTTAGCCAAATGGGACAGGACATGCCCTTGGCTCTTTGATTCCATCCCCAAGTGAACACAAAGAGGGCTCTGTGGCTCCTGCTGCAGTGGCTGGCCTGAAGCAGCTGCTGGAGGCAGGCTACAGCCAGGCACTTCCCGGCCCCCCGCCAGTTCACTTGTCCCATGAAGATGTGGCTGCTCGGTGCGAGAACAAATCCCTCCCAGGCGAGCCAGGTTGGATCCTGAAGTGCCCTGTTATGAAGATGTGAGGGCTGAAGTAGTGTCCAACTCCCCTGCGGTGGGAACCATCCCAGGGACACTGCTTGCTCCCCCCTCTCTGGGGGGCTCTGTCCCGGCTGCCCGCGGATGTGGCACCCGCTGCAGCCGCTTGCCTGGGCAGGAGGATTGCTGGGGCACCCAGAGGGCCCCAGCTTGTGGCTGCTTGGAGAGGGCTGCGCACCCTCCAGCAGTGACGCTGTGAAGCAGGGAGCTGTGCTGAAGCTCAGCACGGCTCAGGCTGCCCCCTTCCTCTGGGGAACATGGAAACCCACAACGGGGCAGGCAGAAAATGCCTTTCTCAAGAATGGTGCTTTTTATTTTGTTCCATCCTTATTTGTTGCCTAACAAAAGCTGGATCCACTCTTTCTAGAAAGCATTTAGTTTCCAGTTGGCATTTTGGCTTTGGCTGTGTATTTCCTGCGTGTAGTGTGATGTTTCTCAGCTGAGCCATTGTATTAGGTAAAACAGTGATAGACTGTCTGCATACGTGAGGCTGTTTACGTGGAAGCCTTTTGTTTTTCTCTCTGCAGTGAAAGTCTGTGCTCTGATTGTGTGCATTCCAGGCTTTATCAGCACCGGGAAGACGTTGCTTGGGATTTAAGGTTCTCAGAGATATTCTTGTTTGGCTTTCACCAAATCCAGAGGCACGTGTTGGACATAGGCATTTTATAGACTCCAACAGCACAGCAGAACTACAACCTGCTTTAACACAAAAGGGAGAGGAGGAAAAAACAAACATAACAAAAAGCTTTTCACACAGTGCTTGAAAAGCTCCCTATTAACAAAACACATGGCATAAAATGTGCTCCTTGTTGCATTCAGGGGGAGAATTGAAACAAACTGCTTGAGAAATGCATTCGTGAGAACGATGAGCACCAAAAAAGCTGTCTAAATTAAACAGTCACTTGTAACATCCAGACCAACAGGCAGTGCCAGCAGGAAGAGAGGAAAATGGATTACAAGGTCCGCATCCCAATCAGAGCTGGGGACTGCAGTTCCAGATATGGAACAGCAGCAGGCTTTAGGAGGAATAAGCAGATATCCTACTTCTGCATACCCGGAGGACCAGGGACTAATTGGTGCCACTTCCCAGGTTTCACTTCGGTGGAACAGGTGAAGATGAAGCTGAATTACTAGTGGTGGAGAGGCTTGTGATGGTCAGCAGAACATTGGTTGGTAAAGATCAGATTACACAAAATGATGTAAAATGAGCATAATTGTTACCTTCTCATTGGAAGTCCTGGTCTCCACAGGGTTGGCTGTAACCTCTTGTAAGGGGAGGTCTATGGTCATGTAGAGTGCTGTGGAGCAGGTTTTCTGATTTCTGAGTTGGCTATGGAGTGGCTTTGTAGGGAGTAGACTGACATCCTTGCACCCCTGGGTTCCCACGTCCAATGCCAGCATAGTGCTCCATAGTCTCCACAACACTTTGTGCAGATGGAATGCAGGCAGCTAGTGCCAGATGTTTTCAGGCTCAGTGATGTCTCCCTTCACTAACTGGGTTTTCCCGTTAAGCTTTTTTTTTTTTTTTTTTCCTTTTGAAGACATCTTTGTTTATGCAGTAATGATATGAGTGTGAACATAACAGGCATAGGATTAACCAACACGCAAGGAAGCATATGGAGGTGAAGTACCATCCTGACCTCTGACAGTAGGAAAAAGCAGAACAGAAGAGGATGTGATGGAGGTCAAGGGATGCAGTAGAACAATGGAAACAGTTATGCAAACATGAATTATGCTATTGGAAGGATATTGGGTTTTGTCATCCCAGTTTCTGTTCCTTCTTCTAGCAAAATGTTGTACTGATCTGTACCAGTCAGAGCAGCCAGACCTCTCCTTTTCGTTTGCAGTGGGAGAATGCGGAGTGGATGAGAGGCTGCAATACATGCCAAGACAGAGGAAGCCAGCCACACAGGTGCAGGATGTGATAGTTTGTGCATGTGCACCAATGAGATTTAGATAGTGATTTTTGAATGTTTTCCCTTAACTACAAGTAAGTGCTGTTGTACTTTCTCATCCCCATCTGTCTGAAAAGGAGGGAGCTAAGGAATGCAATCTGGTGCTGTATAACAGTAGGCATTCTGTAGGCAGAAAGCCATTTGTATTCCGTTTAGGTGCCTCCATCAGGTAGCGATGCTCAGCTGTGTGGATGATAGGTGCCCCTGGGAGGCAATCCACGTGCAGCTGGCTCCCTCCTGGCCAGCGTGGGAAGGCACAGGGGCTGCCAACAGCTCTGTGCAGGGCAGCTGCCCCGTGCCCAGGGCTGGTGCTTGGGCTGTGGGCCTGCAGAGCACGGCTGGGCTGTGAGAGGCACAGAGACTTGGGACAGCCACCGTGCAGCATGCCCGCACCGTCCTGAGCATGTGCCAGCCCGTCCTGCTCTGCTTGTCTGGCGTGCCCTCAGCACTGCCCTGTCCGTCAGCTTTTCAGCGTGCTTTGTCTCTGCGTTTATCTTCCTTCTGTTGTTGGACATGTGACTGAAGGTTTTAATTTATTCACAGCCCTCCTTCTGGTAATTTATCCTTTGTACTCTTTGCTGTCTTGTATTATTTAATTCTGTAAAGCACTCTGGGATGCAGTCTGTATGAAAGATGCTGCACACAATAACATTATGCTGAATTGTTTGTGATTTGTAGGCCTTCTGGACTTCTAATTCTGATCGCAGTGGTGGTGGTTATTTGTGTTACGGCAGCACTCAAGGGCCTCGGTTGGATTGGGCTTCCCTTTCAGTCCCTGCCTTCAAGGAGCACACATCCTAATTGCACCTGATTTAATGTTAGCCTGCTTTATTCTGTGTGCAGTGGTTGGAAACGCAGGACATGCCACCAGGACTGACTGCGTAGGCTCATGGTGTTACGGCTAAAGCATGGGGTGAAGCCTAGCTGTTTGCCTTCTCACGAGCTGTGACAGAGGCAGGAACAGTGCTCCCGAGGCACGGGCACAGGGAGCTGCTGTGGAGGCATGGCAAGGGGCTTCAGGGGGTTGTGCTGGAGCAACCCCAGGAAAGGAGAATGAGCGGCTTGCAGCAGGGCTCTGCTGGGTTGGAGCCCTTCAGGCTGCCCTGGTAAAAACAGGCATCCCCAGCGAGGGCAGGCTGAGGGGCTGCGGGGGACGACGTGCTGCGCTGGTTGCAGGGGTTCGGTCTGTGCCTGGAGGGGACCTTGCCACTTGTACCTGCTGTTGCTGCTGTGCTCTCGTCTGGGTCCTGTGGGAGGGGGTAGTGTGTGAGAGAGGCTCACTTTTAGTTAATGCCTTTCCTGAAGCTCCTGAGCCTACAGCTCAGCAGCTTTCCAAAGTCATGGCTGGAGTTACAGCCCATGATTTCTGTACTGCTCGATCCTGAACACGAGGTTCCCATCAGAGCAGGTTTTACCCCTTGTCCACAGTCTGCATTTGGTTCTACTTTGTACACCAAAAGCCACACTTTAATTTTATGAGAGCGCTCTGGGCTGGCAGCCTGGCAGAGACACGGCCTTCGTGTAGCCAGCTGCAGCAGAGGAGCAGTGAGAGCGGTGACAGTGCCTGCTGCATTACACCCCGTACCCCCAGGGCTGACTATGAGGTTGGCCTTGGCACATCCAGTTGTTCATGGTTTTCCCTCTTGCCTGGTCTCAGGTATGCTATCGACCGCAGCACAGACACAGAGAGGATCTTTGACATCGACGCCAACACAGGTGCCATTGTGACAGGAAAGGTCCTGGACCGGGAGACAGCAGGGTGGCACAACATCACTGTCCTCGCGATGGAAGCAGGTGAGATGGAGGAGCGCCGTGCGGAGCAGACAGTCTGCACTGGACTGTATCAGGGGCAGAGGGAGAAATACAGGCATTTTCACTGCAAAGGTGACCAAGGTGCAACAGTTAATTAACGCTGAAATTAAATAAATAAATAAACGCAGCATTACTTAGTCTGACATCTCCCTAGACAACCTAAAAATACTCTTCCTGACTCAGTCATTAATAAGGGATCGTGGTCGAATAGTGTCTTTGATGAACACTAATCAAATTTGTGTTAGCTATGCACCAGCTCTGGCAGTCATCCCTGTGCAGCTTGCTCCCTGCATTCACAGCTGGTGAGCAGCTCAGGGGGCTCTTGGAGATGTGTGTTCATGTCACCAAATCCTCCTGGTCAGCTGCATGCTGCAGGTGGATGCCCCCTCAGCTGGAGCCTTGCAAAACGGAGACTGCCAGCACTCACTGCTGCTGGGGGCTAAAGGTGGTGGCAGGCTGTACCTGCACGACAGGTATGTGGCTCTGGATGCCTCCCGTGCCCTTCCTTCTCGGCCCCAAGACCTGCATTTGCACCCCCACAGGGGGCTAGAAAGCTGCAAACTGGGAAGAGCCCCCAGAGGTTTTCTGAACCTGCCTCTGATGCTCCCCTCCTGCATGCTCTGCTCTGCCCAGCGAGGTGCTTTTAGTTGGTGAAATAAATACTCAGTGTGGTGACAGGCAGAGCGGGGAGCACCCACCTCGTGAGATAAAGGCAGGGGGATGCTGGTGAAGGGGATGAGGGTGGCAGCAGCAGAGCTGCCTGCTGGGTTTGGCGCTGCCAGGTTGCTTGAGCCCCAGCCAGAGCACTCAGCCTCATCCCGTGGCTTCCCAGACAAGCGCCATGGCAGAGGATGAGAGGAAGCTCTCTTGTCCTCTTCTGAAATGAGCTCCTTTCTGGCCTTCCTGTGTGACAGTCATCTCCTTTCCCCATGGCTGCGCTACCCCAGGGTCTATATTTGTATTAACTTCCAAATCTGAGCACATCCAGCTGAGAGAGCCGGGAGGGAGCAGCTTAGGAGCTGTGCAGGGTTTGTTGGTTGATCTTTCCTGTGTGACACTGGGGTGGCAGAGCCTGGCTTGGACGTTTCCAGCAGAAGTTCTGTTTGTCTTCTTTACTCCAGTAAAGAACAGACCTGGGTCCTGCTGCTCAAAAGAGCTTTGAATAAACTCCTCTTGAGGAATAAAAAGAAGATAATAGCAGCAAGGGGAAGGCTTTGATTACCTGCAGGTGCTGCACTGTGGGTAGGAAGAGGTTGAGACTGCCCTGGCTATCCTGCTGCCCTCTGTAATGTTTGCACAGTGTGAACATTGGCTCACAGGCTGTGCAGGTTCCCCCGCATGATGGTGGATATTGCCCCGGGGCCCCAGAGATTGCTCATCTTCTCTGAGTTCTTCCTTTTTCTGAGTCTTAAGATGGAGATGGGCTTCAATCCCAGGCACCATGCTGGGAAGCAGGAAAGCACTGCCATGTTCTTCAGTTTTCTTCATTTCTGATGCACAAGTCACCGGCTCTGTCTGGGACCTGCTGTGCTCTGCCACCCCATGGCAGCTGATACCAGGGAGCTGCTTTGGCTGCGAAACACCTCCCCGTTCCTGTGGATATTTGCCAAGACCTGCCTGTTAGACTCTGTGCATGAGCTTTCCTAGGCTTTGCTTGGAGAGACCCCACGGGGTTCCTGGTTCTTTGCTCGTTTTTGAATACGAAGATGCTATTCAGATTGAAGAAACTGCATCAGGGGCCTGAATGGGGACCCAGAGGCTGGTTTCTGCTGGATCATTCTGGCTTCAGGAAGGCCAACGCTGCATTGGCAGGGATCTGCACACGCGGGGCTGGGGCACTGTCGTGCCCATGCTGCCCTAGGGAAGGAGGGGCAGTGCCCTTGGCCAGACCCCAGCTGCCCCAGGCTGGGACCTCTCTGGCTCTGTTGCCCCGTGCTGATGCGTTGTGCCTGCTGGCTGGGTGAGCCCCACGCGCCCAGCCGTGGTGCCCCGCTGTGCACATGCAGCCAGCAGGCAGGAGGGCAGCCCTGGGGCTCTGCAGGGGAGGCTCTGCCAGCGCTGGCCAGGGAGGAGGGCTTGTGGTGCTGCCGCACAGCTCAGCATCCAGAGGAAATGTGAGGTGACAAGAATCAGAAGGAAAATATTTATACGCAGCATCTAAGATTTCAGAGCAAGTCAGTAAATGCTGCGGATACCCTCCGGCAGGAGAGCCTGTCAGGCTGCATTGCTTCAAAAGCTGGGGAGACTCTTCAGTGCTCTGACTTCTCCCATCAGCGGGCTCTGACTCATCTGTTTTAACTGCCCAGACATTCCTCCCAGTGACATTATCCTTAACGTTTTGTAATCATGAAATATTAATGACTGATATTGAATTTAGAGTACAATTTATGTCTGAATCCTCTGGCAGAAAGGGCAGTTGTAAAGGTAAGGCCTTCAAAGTGACAGAGGGGCTTGGGAGTGGGGCCGAGCAGCAGCTGTCATGCTGTGCTTGGCGTGGCACTGGACTGGCGGCAGTGGTGTGAGTGCAGGGTGGCTGGGAGCCTCTGTGCTGCTGTCGGTGTGCCTGGTGCCTTCATCTCATGGGTCTCGCAGGGCTGCCCAGTCCTGCACTCACCGAAGTGCACGTTGTCTGCTGCTGAGTCTGTCCACAACCACAGGATGGTGTCAACTCCATCGGAGGCAAGTAGTAAAATATCCTTCCTCCTTCCCCAGTGAGATGCAAGCCTTGCAGAAACAATGGAGTGAGCCTCCCAGGTGTCTCACCACCCTGGCTCTGGGTCTGCTCGGGGCTGGAGGGAAGCTGTTCCTGTGCGATTCCTGTGGCGTGCCCTGGATCACACCTCCCTGTCCGCCGGCAGCACTGCCCTGTGAATGGTTTTAATGAGCTGCAGCTGATGGAGAGAGCGCCAGCTGACAGCATATGCTCCTGCAGGCAGGCTGGCTCTTCAGCTCCATGCAAGCGCTGTCCCCACACCTCAGAAAGCCTGTCCTAGGACTAGGTGCTCCAGAGACTGTGTTTAGGGGTGCATGACCCACCTGCAGAAAACTCAAGAGACTGCATTTGCATCTGAAGAGCAGTAAGAAAAGCAGCAGAAGGCTCCTAGCACGCCTGTGTCTGTAGCTGGGCTGTGTTCTGCTGGGGAGCAGGGGAGGGCAGGGCCCCTCCCAGAACAGGCGCTCCCCAGCAGGAGCTGCCTGTGCCAGGCAGCTGATGAGCAGAGTATTTGGCCTTGCAACAGTGCAGCCAGCAGGAAACATGGGGACTGTTCAGTAAATCTGGACTGGGACCAGGCCAAGCTTTTCCAGACATAAATCTTCATCTCACTCACAAGCTGTTTACCTTCCTTGGGCTAATATTAGTGATTCTCTTCCTGTTTTCCTCTTTGCTCATGTAAAATGATGAGGCCTTGACTGCTGTGTCCACTGCTGGTAATTGAGATGATAAATCTTCCTGCTGGAGACCGGCTTTAATCAGAGCATTGTGTTTGGATGCGATTTAATGACTCTCATGCTGCTGAGTCTGGGCAGGACTCAGGAGAGGTGAGAGCCATTTATATGTTACTTGGCTGATCTGCTGCTTCCCCTTTGCTTCCCTGCAGCTTGGAGCCACATTTTCAGCTCCAGCCTCTGATGTGGCCACCCGCGTCCGATGAGCTGTACCCCTGGCATGCCCCTGTTGTGTCTTTGCCATCGATGCTCTGCTTTTCAATCAGCAGCTGTGCTGACATCCACAAAACCACCCTGTGCCATTGTGCGGGTGCAGGAAAGCAGAGTGGCCCATCCCAGTCTGCTAATCTGCATTTTGTTCTGCCAATTTGCTGAGATAGTGAGGATTAAAATTCCACCCCTGGCTTTTATGGCTTCCCTACTAATGTAAAAATTCTGATTTCAGTATTGTACCAATTTGGTCTTGACGCAGAAGAGGGTGGATTGTGTGCTATGCCTAATGCCATGGCAGTGAGTTGTGTTTCTTGGGAGTGTCGCAGCCACAAACGGCAAGACTCAGTCTGCTGGGCTTTCCTCAAACAGTGCTTTAAGGCCCCAGGAAGCTGCAGAGCACCTTTCTGTGTGCAGTGTGGCTACACAGCTGAGTGTGCAGGTAGCAGTGCAAATGGTACAGCTGCTTCAGCACTGCTTAGAGTTGGAGGTTCACAGCAGAGGTTTGGTTGTAAAAATGCAAAGTGCTTTAGTGTGACCTTGTGTGAAGATCTAGAGAGGCAAGCACTGGATCCCAGCACAGCTTAAACAAGGCCTTCCTCCTTCCTGCTGTGGAGGGGATGTCTAAGCATCTCCACAGCCCCTACTCATCACAGCCAGCTGCAGCTGCAAAGCTTCCAGCATTTGTTAAGAGAATTGCCTGGAGCTGCTCGGTGTCCCTCTGTCAGCTGGCTGTCCAGGATCTTCTGCGCAGGGCAAATCCTTGGTGCTTTGCATCTCAATGTTTTTAAGCCAGAAATAGTATCCTCTTCAGGTTACTTTCAAGGTTAATTGTATTAAAAATAATAATAATAGTTGGGGGTGTAGCTGAGGGCTCATCAAGGGTGTGAGTCTCAGCCTCAGCATGGCTGTGCAGTGGGAACATCTTGGTGAGACCCAGCTCGGGGAGCCTGTCCATGCACAGTGCTCCCCACCAGCACCACCTCAGTGTGGACTCAGGACCCTACATGCTGCAGCTTGTGGCAGCAAGGAGAGTGGAGATGCTGCGGTGTAGGAGGGCTGCAGCAGACCTCTGTCCCTGGGCTCCAACGTGTCTGCAGGTATTTCAGCCCATGTTGGCAAAGGCAGTTGCCAGTCATCAACCTGGAGCTCCCATTCTGCACTGCTGTTTCCAGCATCTCCCCCTTGTTCTGTGTTTTCCCTGTCTCTTTCCTCAGTCTTTTCAGATTAATAGTATTCCAACTCCTGGAGGAAATGCAGAAAAACGGCATGTTTAATTTTAATTTAGGAAACCGTTTAGGTAGCAGCCTAGTTTCCTCGCTGCTGTCAATCAGGTTTTCTCAAGGCTGACATCAATTAGTTTAAAAATATTGAATGTAATTTTGCCTGACACAACATATTGCAGCCACTGCAAAATATAATTTATTTTAGAAGAAGAAATAATTAAACTAATTTGCATGTCAGTCAGCTGAGCTGGAATACCAAGGAGAGACGCTGCAATGGAAAATGACTTTTTTCCTCCCCGGTCGCACTCAGCCTGGCACAGCCTCCACAGCCAGCTGCTGCTTCCCAGAGCCCTTCGACAGCCCTGGCTGATGCCAGCGGCAGCGCCTGTCCCATCAGCTGCTCTGCCTGGCAGTGGTAAATGTGAGCACGTGGAGGGGTGGGAGCGCTTCTGCGCATGCGGGATGCTTCACAGGGAGGAAGCACATGTCAGAGCTTTTGGACTTGCAGATGTGACGTTTTCAGTACTGCTGGGTGCAATGTGGTTTTCATCACAGATGTACGATCTTAATCACAATTCTGACCATTGTAAATTCAGTTTATGCTTCACAAGTTACGGAAAACAGATTTCATAGACGTTTTGGAGATATTTTTATCCACTGTATCTAAATATTTTTCATACATTCAGGTACTGACTCAAACTTACATTCAGTTACTGACTCAAAGGAAGAAGGACGTTTATAAAGAAAGCAGTTGAGGAGCTTTCACGTAGATCATGATGCAATTGAAATAAAAGGAGCGGACGTATGCATCGCAGGAAGGATTGCCGATGATGCCGTGGTCACACTTCTAAACTTGATGTTCTTGGAGAAGTCAAATTTTAATGCTGTCACACAGCCAGGACTAAGTGTGAGCCTCAGGCTTCAACTACGGTGGAAGGGGCTGAAAGAGACCTTTTTGATGACAGGGCATGTTCAGAAGGGATGACTGCTTTGGGCTGTGCTCAGGGAGCAGGCTGTGAGCTCTGTCTCTGTCAGAGGGCTGGCCCTGGTCCAGCACCCACTGTGAAGTGCTGCCTACTGCTGTGCGGGGCTGGGGAGGAGACCGATTTAGGGCTCTGTCTGATTTTCAGAACAGCCTTGCACTGATTGCATCCCTCTTGGTGAGGCTGAAACAGCATCTGGATGGGGAGCTGCTGTGCTCAGTCTCTTCCCTGTGTCTCAGTGCCCAGCCAGGACCTGGCCCCACATGCCCTGTGCCAAAGGGACTTGGGGGCATTCAGCGACCCTAGAATCAGTTCCTGCTCTGGGGGCGCCACAGTTGGGAAGAGGAAGGGGGGCCTCAGGCTGCCTCCTCCTGCTATCCTCCTCCTTTCTGCCTTCTTTCCTCTTTTTCTTGGCAGTGCCAGGTTGCTTCAGCACCAAGGGGCAAGGAAGGTTTCCCATCTTCCGGTAGGGTGAGCAAGCTGTGGAGGGGGTGATAAGATGTTGTCACCCTGCATCTTGCAGGAATTGAACCCTTTTTCCTCCTGTTCCTCTGCAGTCCCGGTGGGTACCGGCCACTGCCCTCTATTGCCCCCAGACTATCCACTCCCTTCTTACCCTGCTGCCTCCCGTTGCCTTTCTTCCTGAAAGCAATTGCAGTTTATTTCACTGCACCAACACACTTTTTAAAATAACACATCGTTCCAGGCTTTTAGTCACGACTTCTGCCTCCCTCCCCCGAAGCAACCATCTAATCACCAGAGCAGCTGGTCTGGGTGAGAGGGAGTGATAACGCGAGAACAGGGTGAAGGCAGCTCTGGGAGGGGGAACACGTTCCTGGCTAATTATGGAGCAGCACTAGATCTCCTCTCCCCTGGGTCCTCCCCCACCTAATACACTGGGGACAGCATTAATTTTATAGACAAACAGACAGCAGAGCTCCTGTCCGAGTAGGGAGAGAGGCATCGGGTCTGTTGGAGTTATCACCTCTGGGGAAAACAAAGGAGATGGAGGGATATTTCATTTCTGGAAACACATGAGGAGCTCCAGAAAATATTAGGCCCTCCAGAGTGATTTGAAATGTTACAGAGGGCTCAGCACACCTATAGGGCACAAACCATGGGGTGGAGCGGCACTGCAGCAAGCGGAGCTGTGAGCGCAGCTCCCTGCCCTGTGTGCCCCAGAGCAGCAGCACCAACAGGACGGGCCCCTGCCCCGGGGGCTTGCTCTGCGCTGCTCACCTTCTCCATGGGCAGAAGGGGCTAACAGTGGTTCCTTGGGAGTCCTGGACACGAAGCCCAGCAACTGGGCTTATTGACTGGGAAGTGCAGGTGGTGAGGTTGAACAATGCTCTGCAGGATCAGCCAGCCCGCAGAGGCGGTCACCGAACCCTCTGTGCTGGCAGCAGCTGCAGAGGCCACCATGGCCTCTGGACACGCAAAACCACGGAGGGCCTGCTCCCTGCTATCAGGCACTTCCCTCTGAAGCTTTGCTTCTCTTTTGTTTCAGATAATCATTCACAGGTGTCAAGGGCCTCTCTGCGCATCCGCATCCTGGACGTGAATGACAACCCACCTGAACTTGCCACCCCTTATGAAGCTGCTGTGTGTGAGGATGCCAAGCCAGGCCAGGTATCGGGCACCCCCCAGGTCTCCTTCAGCAACAGCGGTGGTCCCATGGTACCAGCAGTGCTCTGGACCGGCGCCAGCCTGCCCAGCCTTCACCTCTGCCAGAACATCTCCCTGTGCTGCTGCTGCCATGCTGGGAACCACTTTGCTGGTGTCCTGTCACTAAGCTGGCCCGCAGGGGCAGAGGCTTGTCCCTGGCTGCGGCAGGAGCTGATGGTGCTCTGCTGGTTTGGACCCTGTGAGCCGGGCCCCAGGGAGGGGCTGCAGCAGTGGTTCCAACTCTCATCTCCTCTCTCTCCCCACAGCTGATCCAGACTATTAGTGTTGTGGACCGCGATGAGCCTCAGGGTGGCCATCGGTTCTACTTCACGCTGCCACCTGAAGCCACCAACAGCCACCATTTTTCTCTGCTGGATATTAAGGGTAAGTGCAGGCTGGGCTGGCTGTGCGGAGGGGACGGGGCTGTGCAGTACAGTGGCTCTTAGCCCTGCACCTTCTCCTGTCCAGCGGTCACCATCTGGCTGTGCTGATGGAACTCAGGAGCTTTCGTGCACCCTCTCGGCTCCTTGCCCACCTGTAGCTGTGGGACTGGCCAGCTGACTTTGGATTTCCTCAAGAAGGTTCCACCAGCTTTCTCCTCTGCTGCAAGCAGCTCTGCTGCTCCTAGCACACTGTCTGGATAGCCTGCGATATTTCCAGGGTTCTTGGTCCCTTCCTTGATGTGCAATCTCTAACTTGCCTGCTTGCAAGGAGATGACGTGGATTTACAGGTGAACACACTCCGTTTTAAGAATTGTGATTTATCCTTGCCCTGCCCCTTGGGCCTGTCTGAGAGCCCTGGGTGCAGCGGGGCTCTGCAAACTTCTGGGCTGAGCTGGCTCTGCAGTAGTGTCCCCAGCCTGCAGCTGTAACCGCCGAGCTGCTCTGCGGGGCTGGTAGGCTGGGCCCTGGCTATTTGTGCAGCTTTGAGGGGCACGAGGTCAGGCTGTGTTTGTATGATGACTGTCCAGAAAAGTAGTTATCAAGCTGCTTCCTATTTTTAACTGGTGTCTGATGAATTTAGGTGCTGACTGCAGTGGTAAAAGCAGCAGAGACTGTTGCAGTTATTAGAATGTTTTTTAGCCAGATGTGCATGTATTTGTCAAAGGGGCCAGCCCAGATGGAAGCCAGCGGACTACATTACAGTACCTTGAAACGCTTTCTCCTTGTTCGCTATTGATCAGCATTGTTAGGGTAGTTCAAACGGAACTTGCAGAAAAAAAAAAAAAAAAAAAAAAGGAAATGTAATTGTAGAAGTACTGACATCACTTTGTGCCCTAAAAAGGGCAGCTATCCCTGATCCAAGCCACCGTGATCTCTGCCCCTCCCCCCCCCCCATGGGGCAGCTGTTCACAAGACCTTTGTTTCTTATCATATACGTAAGCTTTAATCCTCTGCAAGACTTTGCCCCCACACCCAGCGATTAACTTCTTTTGCTGTTTCTGAAGGACCTCAGGAAAACATGTGAGAGCACTCTCAGTTACACCCTGGTTGCCTGTCCCTGCCCACACCCTGCCAAAAGCTGGGGCTGCAGTGCCTCGGAGCAGGCTCTCCACTGCAGCTGGGCAGGGACCTGCAGCGATTGCTGCTCCTGCCCAGGACAGGGGCCTGGCCGAGGGGCTGGAGCTCAGCAGGGCCACTCAGAAGCACTGGGGTTGCCCCTGCTCCTGCAGGAGGGTCTCATTGGGAGGGGGCAGGACGCAGGCTCTCACTCGCTGTCTCCTCCAGAGCTGCTGCTCTCTTGAGTAGGATGAGGCGCGCTCATCGCATGGGGTAATCCTCTGTGCTAAATGATCCCACAAACCTTGCATGTGGTGCAACACTGCATAAAATGAGTAAAAGCTGGCATCACCTCCCGCCTTCTGCTCGTGGTAAAACAAATGCTGTTGCTGCAGGGTTATTCCCAGGGTGTTTGGAGACCCTCCCAATTGCCAAGCAATGCTCTCTTCCACAGCGAGAGGCGGTGGCTGCCTGTGCAGATGGAGACGCTCCTCACTTTGGCTGTGTGCTTACTTTAGTGTCATCTCCCTTCCTTTGATTTCTCCCTGCCTCAACTTTTCCAGTCCACTGAGTGTCCTGATAGTGCTCACCTTTGCCCCTTGCCCACTTTGATTCCGTTGCTGCATCCTCCTTTGTTCCCCCCCCGCTTTCCTCCCTCTCATGCGTTCACCCCTCTTCTACTCATCTCTCCTCCTTCATGTAAATATCAGTGGTGACAAACTGCTACCACCAGCCCATCTGTTTCTTTGTACAAATTTGTAGCCAGTTTTGAAACGTGATTTATAAATATTGCTTTTGCAGCCAAGGAGTGACACTGATGGATGTCAGCACAGATGGATTCACTGAGCTCTTGCTTAAATCCTTCTTCTCTTTTTTGCTTTGCACCTACTTCCCTCAGCTTCTGCAAGGCAGCAGAAAGCCATCTCAGGAGTGTAACTTGTCCCCAGCGACCAGCATCCTCTTGGGACCGCTCTCGTTACAGGCCATCAGGCAGGGCATGAGCCCGGGCAGAGGCGCCCTCCCGCTCCAGGCTCCAGGCACCGCGCTGGCCCACGGTGCGGAGGGGCTCCCTCGGGAGGGCCGCAGTGCTGCAGGCTGTGCTGCCGGCTCAGGCAGGCACCTCACTAACAACCCTTGCAGGAGACTGGGAAAGCAGGAGTGAGATGGTGGATGGTGCACGGCCCTATTGCGCGTGTGGGGCCATGGTCAGCCAGGGCAGGATAGGACACTGTTCATTGTCCAGGCTCTCCTGGGGCTCCTTGTGGGCAGCACGGATGAAGCCTCTGAGGACTTTGGGAAAGCCTGGGGTGATGGGGCAGCCTGTCTTGCTGATGAAGAGCTCGTACAGCACCTGCTAGCAAATAGGTGTATGGCAGCAGTTGCAGAGCACGTCTGCTGCAGTCTGATGTTGCCACAGTTCAGCCACGATACTGCTGCTGACCTGCACCATGCTGGGTCCGGCCCCACTGCAGCTGAAGCTGCCCAGAGTGGGGCTGGCCCTTCAAATGTGCCTGCAGTTAACACCTGCAGCCCTGCTCATCAGCTCCCAGCAGCACGCAGAGCTGCCTTGGCTGCCAAGAGCTGCCTTGGCACCAGGTCAGAGATAGAGGAGCAAAAGGTCACCCTGCAGGATGCTTTGCATTAGCTGAATTATAGCCGAAGTAGTTTGCAGGAGTCAGGCTTTTAGAAACAGTGCTATTTCCTACTGGCATTTTTCTTGGTCTGTCCCAGGGAGTGCTCAAGCACTTGCTAATTCATCAGACATGAAATAAAAAGTCATTTGTGATAACAGTGGACTCAATCCAGAAGGAAGATGCCCAGCTAATGAAGTGCCCAAAGGAGAAGATAGCACTGGAAAAGCTGACCTCACCCACGGCCAACTGGTGCCTTTCCAAAGGCATTCACCATCCTGTGACTCCTAACTTGCCTTTTGCTGGGTCTTTCTGGCCTGAAAAAATTGATTAGAGAAGGATCAAAGGCAATTAAAGCCTGAAATCATGTTCTCCAAGAAATGCTAATTGTGTTGGAAGGGATGGTAGAAAGCATCTAAGCCCAACGACCTGGAAGGGGTGGTAGATAATATGGAGCGCCACATGGAGCTACTGACTCCAGAGCTCAAGGGCTAGGCAAACAGATGTCTGAACTCTCTGCAGGTCTCATTAAGAGCATGTAATGGGTGATAGAAGATCTGAAAAGTGTTTCAATCTAAAGCAAAATGTTAGGATTTGAGGGTTGCCTCAGGATAGACAAAGCCTGCTCCAGCCCTGCAGGGATGCTGCTCACAGCACGAGTAACACAGATGCTGATCTGATGCAGGGTGAAAAAGGGCACCAAATCTGTCGGGACTGAGCCAAAGGCAAGTGAGCCTTTGGGTGCCATGGCCTGGCACCCAAAGAACTTGGGAGAAGAAACACGCAAAAGGGAAAAAATGGATTCTTCTCATAGAGCTGCAATTGCCTGGGGCTGAAGGAAGGAGATCTTTGAGGAGGCCTTCAGGTCAGCAGCGTGGCTGCAGGCAGGGCAGCAGCCGTCTGCACTTGGAGCTGGCGGGCGCTGGGGCTGCGGAGCAGGGGCAGAGAAGGGGAAGGTGGGTGCTCAGTGGGGCCTGGGAGAGGGCAGAGGTGTTGGAATCCAGGCTGGAGGTAGGTTGCTGTCTTCTGCTCTCTTGGTGCTGATCAAGACTGAGTTACGAGAAGTATTTATGAGCTCTCTTTCTGAAGCTGCCAAGAGCATCTTTAGAGAGGGAGTCTGAGAGAATTGTTTTACTATTCCTAGTGATGTTATGCATCCAACAGAGATATTGTATTCCTAAACTTTGCTCTCTCAGCGCTATTGACTGGTCCCTGCACACGGCGCACATTGGTTTCTGCCTTCGGTGAATCACTCCTCAAGCAGATAGAGGTGCTGCTGCATGAGGTGGTATGATGTGGTACAGGATAAAACCACTGCGTGTTCGTGGAGAGGCTGCCATGGGAAATCTGCCAAGGAATACAAGATGTCAGCTTGTGTAGCAAGATGGTGAGGATAGCAACTGGTTTGGCTTTTGGCCTCAGAGCAAACCTAGCACAGCCTTTGGAGCGGTGTGACCATGTCACAAAGTACAACCTCACTGGATCAGGCAGCAGAACTCGGGTGTGGAGGAGGTCCAAACTCATTTGTGCAGGAAAGTTGTGAATTGAGTTCTGCTGAAATTTCAGTACCACCTTATGGGAAGCACTGCTCCCCAGCCTCATGACCCCAGAATTGGATTTAGCAGAAAGCTGCTATGTAGGAAGAGATAAGAGAGGCTGCAGGGCCAGGGCCTGTCTGGCTTCACTCTGCAACCACTCAGGCTGTGCTGGTGCAAACAGAAGGATGCCAAGACACATGTCCTGGCAGCAACTGTCTCAGGTCAGCTGCGTGTGAAGACACAGCAGTACCAAGAGAAAATACATTGTTATGTAAGAGGTTGTTTTGGATATGTTTTCCAGGGTATGTTTTTCCCCGATCTAGGCAAAATTTACCTCACTTCTACAGTCAAATAGACTGCATCGCAAGGCAGCTGCGCTGCCTTTCTGGAGTGTCTTGTTCTTCGGTCCGTGACTGGAAGGGAAATGCAAGAATCTTGTAAGTTACGGGTGCAAACTCCCAACAGGGACGGCAGGTTCCCAGGGCACCAGGGAGAGAGGGGCACGGCAGGTTGGCAGCAGCCAGAAAGGAGGCTGAAGTTGGCTTTGAGCCTGGGGGCCACTGCTGCGGCCTGAGGTGGGGGTCTGGCTGTCCAGCCTTGGTAAGCTCTGCCTTTGGTGCGAACGTGAAATTTCTTCCTCCTGTCCTAGCAGTGGCTGGGGCTGCTCCCTTGGACCTGTGAGGGTGGGTGGGAGACCACACGGGGATCTGGCCACAGTCTTGGGCTGGTTACTTGGCTCTTGATGGCACCAGCGAAACCAACTTTTGCAGGTTGAGGACCGGATCCTTGCTTGCTTGGTCTGTCCTGCCTTTGTGTCTCTACTGGATCCAGATGCCCAAGGCTCGTTTATCTGGGCTAGACAGGAGTTTAGTCCTAGCCTCTTGCTGTGATAGCATCGTTAATGTTATTTATATCTCCCAGCTATGCTGCAGCAAGCTGAGGGAGTGGCACCAAATGAGATCTTGTTACCTTTGTGCAAATGATTAGCATAACAATTCATTTTCCCCTAATTTATCCTTGGTAGGTAACAGGAAGCCTCTCCTGCTCTCCCTGGCAGCTCTGCCAGGTCACCTCTGTGCTGGGGCCATGTGTGCAGCTCCCAGAGTTGTGGCCCTGGTGGCAATGTCCTGCAGCCCGGGTGGCTGCCCAGGCGGGGGCTGAGGTCCCAGTCTTGTGTGCAGGGAACCCAGGCAGCACATGGGGCATAGACAGCCTCTGCTCCCCTTGTAGGTAATCCTCTCCACAGGCTGGTGATGCTGCAGCACTTGGATCCTGCGTGATTTAGGAAGCATGGGCCAGTGCTGGGTACTGCAGCCTTGCAGGCACAGTGCTGACACTGCATGCGTTATTGCCTTATTGCTGTCTCCTGGTCCATGCGCTGAGGTTGTTGCCTGCCTGAAGTGTGCTGTAGTGAGCAGGGATGAATGAGGTTACCTAGGAAATTCTCTTGAAGGATAAAAGGTACTGCATCCAAAGGAAGAGTTTTTTCTAGTGAAATCTTCAGCACAGTTCTGTGTGCAGGGAGATTTGGTTTTGAATACTGGCCTTGTGGCATTCAGTGCAGCCCTGAACGTTGGCTGCTGTGGTCTTCTGTCTGGTGTTCACACCATTCCTGAGTCAGAAGGTGAGCTCTTCAAGGCAGACCCTGCGCTCTCACCTGAGCTCACAGAGAGATGATGTTTTCCTATCTCCTTTATGCTAAAATCCCAACTCTCCCTAGCAAAGGGGCAAAAGGCTCTGCTCTCTGCAGCAACACAGCCATGTTCTGGGACATGGAAAACCCTGGAGGACTGAGTACAGAGGCTTAGGGATGGGAGCAGCACTGTGGCAGCTGAGCCCTCCACGCTCTGCTCTGCCCCAGCTCAGCACGGTGCCGCTGCGACCTGCCCGCATCCTGCCCCCCGGTGCCTCTGTCCCGGCCGGGTGGGCGCCCGCTGTGCACTTGGCTCCCATCCTGCCCCTGCCGTGCCCCGGTGCTCCCGTGCAGTGCCCGATCCATACGGCAATTTCCGTGGTGGCAGGCGGCCCAAGAGCCAAGATTAAAACAGATGTCTTTTCCAATCGAATTGCTGATTGATACAGAAAGGGGCCAGTCCAGCATAAATCAGGAGCAGTGAGGAGAGAGTCTGTAGACAGCAGCACCTTGCTGTGTCCAGGCCAATCTATGCTTTATTAGATAAAGACTGCAGCCAGTCGGCAGCAACTTCTGACATCTGGCCACAATTGTTCAGATGCTATTCAGTCCTTTTCCTTCCACCCTGCTCTGCTGCTGACTGGCAGCAAGCGGCACACATGAGCAAGGTCCAGAGCTGATTTTCAGTCCCTTTTCTTAGCCTCCATGCTCCAGGTTGTGTGCAGCTGCTGCTCAAGCTCATCTCTGACCCTGGGGCACTGGCAGGTCCCATGAAGTGGCTGTGTTAGTGGTACTGAAACTTGAGCCAGCTAAGCCCTTGAAGCAGCAAGATTTGAGCAAACAAGGACAGCCAGCTGAGCTGGCAGGCTTGAAGAAGCTCTGCCTGCTTTTTTGGAAGTTTTACAAAGGACCCTGGGGGTGTTGGGCTCTGATTGAGGCAGGACTCTTTACCCATGGCTCTCAGGTTTGGGGGCAACAGCCATTCCTGCAGGCTCAGTGCCCTCTGCAGAGCTCCATCCACTCCAGACTGAGGGGGCCAGGTTGGGTCAGGATGGGTCTCCAAGTCAGTGACCAACTCTTACCCTGATTCCTGTTCTGTGCCACTCTCAGAGCATTTTCGGAGAGGTTCTTCCCCTCTGTTCCTCCCCACTTTTGCTCCTGTGTCAGGTTTGCTAAGCCCCAGCAGTGCTGGCGGTGAGGCGGGCTGCCCTCTGCCAGCACAGGGCACTTGCTGGAGCCGAGCCAGACGCTCCTGGGCACCAGGGCTGCCAGGGGACTGTGGCGTGGGGAGCCAGAGCTGGCTCTGCTCCTGTCGGGGGACAGCAGGAGGCCAGGGCATGCCATTCCCTGCTTGGCTGAGCTGTTGGTGGCTGGAGCTGGCATCCGTACAACTGATGAGCGTGTGGTGGCAGCCCACCAGCATCCTGAGGGTTTGTCCCATGTACAGAGGAGCTCACGCTGGTCCTGCTGCTCTGTGATGGGAGTGACTTTGTTGTCGTTTGCTTCTTTCCTGCAGACAATACGGCTGCGGTGCACACACAGAGAGTGGGCTTCAATCGCCAAGAGCAAGATGTGTACTTACTGCCCATTTTGGTGGTGGACAGCGGCCCCCCACCCCTCAGCAGCACGGGAACCCTGACCATCCGCATCTGTGGCTGTGACAGCAACGGGGCCATCCAGTCCTGCAATAGCACGGCCTACGCCATGTCAGCTACGCTGAGCCCAGGCGCCCTCATCGCACTGCTGGTGTGTGTCCTCATCCTCATCGGTGAGTGCTGCCCAGCTCCTGCTGCCCTCAGCCACCCTGCCTGCAACCCTGCACCGACCTGGCCCCTTTGCCCCTTGACTCCTTGTTGCTGGCTCACCACATTGTGGAGGGCAGGGGGCCAGGGCAGTTGTGGGGGCTCCAGCTTTTTCTCTGCTCCTCACGTGGCACTCTGGGTGCAGCCAAAGCACAGCTGCCCTTGCCATGGGTGGGTGGGTGCCAAGAGCCATGTGCAGGCTGCCAAGCTGTGCTGGCAGCAGGCATCTGGCTGCAAAAGGCACATGTGTGTGTCCCAGCACAGAGGCCAAGGGTGGTGGGCACGGGGCGTGCAGTCACACTTGGAACACAGAATGGCAGGGTCAGAGCTGGAGCAGGCAGGCAGGATAGAGGTGAGGTGCATGCAAACCAGAGCATTGCCCAGGACAGGATCTGTGCCCGCAGCATGTGGGGCTCAGCTACTGCTATCAGCACTAGCACGAGCACTAGTACTGGAGCGAAAGGACACGGCATGAAGGAGCAGAGAAAGCAGGGACTTGTTTGCACATGGGAAAGGAATGGGGCTTGTGGAGAGGGGGGGGAGGTGTGCTGCAGTGTCCTCGGGTTTAGCACTGTGCAGTTGGACACCGCTGCTGAAAGCCCTTCAGCATCAGTGCTGGCTTGCAGCTGGCTCCTGAGGGCTGTCAGGCTTCCTGTGGATGTCAGTGCCTTGCTCAGTGAGGTCTCCTCTCCTTGGCATGTCTGTGCTCCCCATCTCCTGCTGTGTCTCCGTTTAGAAAACCCTTTCCCATAGGGTGTACTTTACACTGGTTTCATTTTCAAACGCAGCACAAACAAATTTCTGCCTAATTGCCCAAATGAATAAAGTGCACATCGGTGCTCTAAAGGTGATGGGATGAATGGATGATGATCCAGGACACATCTGTGGCTCGTTGCTCAGGCTCTGTGCCATCTGCTCCACAATCACCCTCTCAACATTTGGCTGCTGCTGTGGTTCACGCACCCCCTTTCCTATTCATCTTCAGCAGAAGCAATCCGTTTGTCTGTCCAGCCGTGCGTTCAGCCATCTGTCCCACCTGTCTCAGTGGGTGTGCTGCATGGAAAAGGAAGCTCCTGTTCTGCTCTGGAGCCCAGGCCAGACTCTCTCCCTGCCAGTGCCGCAGCACGGCTGCTACTTAATGAGCTTGGCTGCTGGGAGCTGGTGGCAGCTGGGTCTGGGCTGCCGGGGCGCCCTGTGCCACAGGGGCCTCACCATTGTGCCCAGGCACTGTATGAAACCATTGCATGTGCTCTGACTGTTTCTTCCTTCTCCAGTGTTGGTCCTTCTGATCCTCACGCTGAAGCGACACCACAAGAGCCACCTGACGTCCGAGGATGACGAGGACATGAGGGACAATGTCATCAAGTACAATGACGAAGGAGGTGGTGAGCAGGACACGGAGGCCTACGACATGTCTGCCCTGCGCAGCCTCTATGACTTCAGTGAGATCAAAGGCGGTGACGGGGGCGGGGGGCTGGGAGAGGGGGGCCCGAGTGGAAACCCAGCCTCCGAGCGCCATGCCCTCCCGCAGTGGGTGCAGAGCCCGGACCTGGACTTCTCCGTGTTCAGAGACTACATCTGCAGGAAGGTGGAGCAGGCGGATGAGGACCTCTCTGTGCCACCCTACGACTCGTTCCAGACCTATGCTTTTGAGGGCTCGGACTCCCCTGTGCTCTCCCTGAGCTCGATAAACACCTGGTCCAGCAGCTCGGAGCAGGACTTCTCCTACCTGGGGGCCTGGGGGCCGCGTTTCCGGCAGCTGGCAGCGCTCTATGCGGGGCGCCGTGGCGAGGAGGACAGCGAGGAGTCCTAGCCGTGCCAGCCAAAGCCCACGAGGCTCCGGGCACATCCAGGGCCAGGGCTCTGGCCATGGCAGGGTCCAAGCACGGGGGGCTGTGGGTGCTGGTGGTGGCTGCTGGGGGGGCTGTGCCGCAGGGGTGGGCCTGAGCTGGGTGCTTCCCGCAGCCACCTCCTGGTCCAGGCTGTGTTGCACCCACCCGGCCAGGCTGGCGTGCCCGTGTGAGCCGCTGGGGCCATCGTAATCTCCTTAATGCTGATCTCTGTTAAAGCACTGCGCATTAATTTAAGAAAGAGAAAAATCTAATTCAAGAGAGATTGGAGGGGTTTCTCTCCCACAAATTATCATTTAAATAGATCCGTTCAGTGAGTCCAGTTCAGGGTAGGAAGAGCAAACCGGGAGCCTTTTGTTGTCTAAATTGTTTTTGTCACTTGAGTCAGAGCATTTGAAGTGCTTTGATTTCTTTAAGAACTTTCCTTGCAGAGGGAAATAAGCTTTTAACTTCTGTTCTGCTTTTTCTGCTTACATTTGCTCACTTTTTGGAGTCCTCCTTCCTTCTGCACATGGGCTCCCAGGCAGTACCTGCACACTGCCACACTGGGGATGCTCACGCCGGCTGCAGCTCCGTGGTCACACCCTGAACAGAGCGACTGCTGCCCAGGAGTTCACTTCAAAACACATTTCTCTGCTAAGCTGCAGCTGCAGTGCGTCTCAGCTCTTAGACCTTTCCTGTAGTTAAAAGGCTGATGACTCAAAGGGGCTTCCTCTTGCACACCCTGCGCACTGGGCACTGTCTGTGGCATGCTGGTGTGCTCCAAGGCCCTGGTGATGGACAGAGTCCTCCTGCCTGCTGCTGAGGTGTGGTGGCATGGCTGGAGCCGGTTGCTGCAGGCTGAGCAGCAGCTCTGTGACACCTCAGTGCGCCCAGGTGCCCCTGCCCTGGCACCCTGCAAGAAACCTGCAAAACACCCGTGGGTGGCACAGCTTCCTTTGCATGAGACCTCTGGTTTTAACAGGTATGTCAGAAGGCGGCAGGTGGGATTTGCCTTTGTTCCTTGGGCTTCCTCCTTACTAAAGGAAAGTGCTTCTTGGCCCTGCTGGTATTGCAGCTCCTTATCTGTTCCTGTTTAAAACAATCAGTGATGTATTTGATAGGTAACCGATAAGGTTTCCCAAGGCCTGACACATCCTGGGCTTTTCACTGGGTTTGTCCTTTTAGTTTAGCCACAGACGGTGTTTGCTATCCTTGGAGAAGGCTTAAATGTAAATGTACATGCGTGTTCATTTTATGCTGTTTTGCTTCCCGGCTGCTGGTGTTGGCCCTTTAGCCACAGGGTGAGTCCTGATGGTGGAGAGAGGCCGGATGCATCTTTGCCATGGCTCCTGCCCCTGGCTGCTCCTCCCCGCTGCCACCATGCTTGGCTTTCTGCCGGGACCAGGAGCTGCTTGTGTCTCAGGGTCTCTCTGGTCCCTGCCAAAGAGGCTGCAGGCACCCACGCCCTGGTGTGCCACTGGTTCACTGTGATGATGCTGGAGAGGCAGCAGGGCCAATGGAAGGTGATGCCCTGGATCCCAGAGCAGGAGAAAAGAAAGCCCTCTCTTTCCTCAGGAATGTGTACGTGTTTTCCCTCTGGGCTGAAGTGTTGGAGTCCCTCTGGAGTTGGCCTTTCCTCTAGCAAAAGTGTTGTGCAATAGTAGGGCTCTGTCCATAGGAGATGGGGTCTGACAGGGTACGTGTTTAGCCACCCTCCCACTGGTTTCCCCCTCCCCGACCAGCCAGTCCTCCCCACTGCGCATGCACGCACGCTTGCGTTTTAATTTCCATCCCCCATGTAAATACGGGAGGAGCGCGGTGCCCAGCAAGCTGACCGCTCCATGGGCACTGCCCTGCGCTCCCTGCCCTCCTGCACCCACAGGAGGAGCTGGCAGCTGCCACAGTCTTCTCTATCCAAACAAAATTAGGAGGTTGATTTCCTCACCCTTGTTATTTTTTTCAAGGTCTTTCAAGGACCTGGAAATAAATGATTTCCTTGTCATCTAGCCTGAGTCTTATTTGCCTTGTCTTGTTTTGTTTCATAATGCTGCTATTCTAACGTGGTCCCATGAATGTGTGCCCAGAGGGCAGGGGGCCGGCACAGCCTAGGCTGGCACATTCCACACCGGGGCTGGCAGCTGGGCCAGGCAGGGTTCCCAGGGCAGGGTGCTGCTTCTCTGGCTCCTTCCCCTTTTTCACTGAAATGCTCATCAGAAAAAGCATCTTCATGAGCAAGATCAGTTTTTTTTCTGGCTGAATCTGAAGGAAATGATGAAAAAACAATATGCACTTGGCTTCCACCATCTTTTCAGAAAAAGAAAGCTGGGCTGTGTTGTTAGCAGCTATTTGAGGTGCTCGGCGTGTGCTCCAGGCAGCCTGCGGTGCCCACCTGCTGCTCTGCTCCCCCAGGAGCCACACAACACTGGGGGCTGGAGTCTGCAAGGCCACAGCTGGGCACAGGCTTCTTAGCACCATCCTTGAAGGAAACTGCATGCTAAATGACAAAAGAAAGTCTGATTATGCATCCTCATCATCATCTTTTCTTAGCCAATAGAGTACTTCAATGTTCTTTAAAACATGAACCTTTAGTGCTGTTTTCCTGAAGTCACAGACAGCCTCATAGGTGTCCAGCTGCTCACTGACAAGCATGGAGCCCGATCATGTTCTTCATGTTCTTCCCAGCTTCAGTACCGCTGGGCATCGATAACAGGTTTTGTTGCCATGACCCGTTCTCATATTGGTAATGGCATGTATTAGTGCAGTGTTCAGTTATCAGCTGCAGAAGAAAAAAAAAAAAAAAAAAAAAGAAAGAAATTAAACCCAGTTTTAATACTGAAATGATGTAAATAAATGACACTCCATCCTGGCCACAGATAAATCCATTGCTCGTGGTTTTCTTGATGGCAAGGGACTGGGAAATGAGCAACGTGTTAAGGGCACACAAGCATGAATTTCCCTGTTCAGGAAGCCTCGCCAGGGTGCACAGCTGTGGGTGTAGCACACAGCAGCTGGCCAGCACTGGGACAGGGGGACATGTGCTCAGCTCTGTGGTGGCACCAATGTAGGTCAGCAGATAACACAGGCAGAATTTAACCTCCTCGATAAAGTGACAGTCATTTAAATAGCATCTTGCAGTCCTTGCTCAGAAACAGGCTTATTGATCCCTGAGGTCTTTAAGCACTTCCATATCCTTCACCATCCCTATGCCTCCACTCCCATCCTGCTCCCTTGGTTATTCAATTAATGGTATGGAAAAAGCATCTGGTGACCTTTGATGACAGTAGTTAGTGGGATGCCGTAACAGAAGGGAGGAGCCTGGAGGCCAGAGGGGTTTCCAGACGCGTGAGGTATGCTGCCAGACCTTGCTGTACACACCGTTTTTCTTTTCACAGTTGCAGTGAGTGATTCTGTAGCTGTAAACGTCGAGGAGGCCTTTTTACAAGCATTATTGTTAATTGCCTACACACAGCAAGTGTGTCAGCACTGCACTCACAGCTGTGTGCTTTGACAGTTTGGGCACGTTGGCCAACTGCTGTTTGCAGAAAGCTATTGACAGTTGCTGTGTGTTTGCGCCCTGGATTTTCAGCCTAGGTCCCCAGCAGCAAGAGCTCTCACGTTCCAGCTGCAGCAAGCATGGAGATGTGCTCTCTGAATCCTGCTGTCCGACTCCAGGCACCTCGGCAAGCAGTCTAGCTATCGTAAGACTTTCTGGGGATCAGGTGGGCTTGGTTGTCCTGGGAGCTCCTGCTGGCAGAGGAAAGAGCCTGAAGTTAGTGTATTCCTAACAAAGGAGGTAATAAGTGCCTAGTATTGAGTGTGATGAGGCTGGGCCGTGTAGAAGGATTTGTGTCTTGATATTGTGGAGGAATGGAGAGAGCTCAAAGCAACAAATTGCCAGCCAGAGCCAGACCCTTAACTACAAAAGAGTAGGATTATTGAGAGCTCTGATTGCAGAAGCATCTGTGAAGATGTTTTAAGAGCTCCGTGCAATGCCCCCTCAGCACAGACCATTTTGAGGAAATTTTTCTATAGGCACTTCTCTCTCTTCAGCAGTTGCACAGCTGTCCCTGGCTCCTGCAGGGCAGGGCAAGGGCAGGCTGATCTTCTCCTTGCTTTGCAGGAGAAGCCAGTCCTGCTCTGCAACATCCAGCAACAGGACTGGTTCAGACCCAGCAGCTGGGTGCTCTGCTGGTGACTGTGGGCTGAAGACGCTTCTAGGTCTGTCCAGGGCTTCAGGCTCCTGGCTCATTAACAACACCCCCACTCGTCTGAGTGGAGAAGGGCAGCGAGTGCTCAGAACTGGCAGGTTCTGGGCAGCACAGGCTCCTCTAGGAGCAACGAAGGCACCTGCAGATACAACTGCTGCATGCTGTTGCTGCATGGGTCAGGAACCTGGCTGGTGCTGTGCCCCTGCATGTTGGGGTATTTCTCTGCCTGATGGAAGGAGGTCTGTTCCACCCAGCTGCTCTGTGGGAGCACAGCAGCTCTTTGTCCAATGCTTTTGTCAATGAGCAACAGCCCATCAGGAACCCTACAGGCTTGCAGGGGGCTGAGAGTCACTCCCGCACCTGTGGCTCTGCTGGTGGGGATGGTGGCATTTGCCATGGCCTCGTTCTGAATGCGTCCTGTGAGATTCATGCCCCTGTGCTTGCAGACCACGATGGCAGCTGGGTGCTGCGACTCCGCTCTCGGCCCCAGCCTGGAGATGCTGCAGCAGCATCACCTTTAATGCCTTTGCTCTGTGCCACGGTGAACTCCAGAAGGCAAGGTGTCCAAGCCTCCTCCAGGGAGTTATTTACAAAGGATGGATGTGATCCGTGGGGATCATTAAGGGGAAATGAAAAAAGGCAGTGTTATCTGCACCCCCAGGAGAAAAATACATCTCTGGTAACTGAATGCAAGCAAGGCCATGTAAGTCTCTGCCTCCTACTTGCCTTGGTAATGCACGGCCTGGAAAGTGATCACCTTTCCCCAAATCCTCCAAGCTGTTCCATCACCAGCAAGCTGGCTGCTTTAACCACCTCTGCCAAAGGTAATATCACCGCTCCCCACATCCTCTCATTTATGAAGACCTCAAGCTTCCTTTAGGGTAGGTATCAGATTCTTGCAGCACAGAATAATCTCAGTTTTGCATCTCTGCTCTTTGTGTTCAGTGCAAAGACAGCAGCTGTGACTTGTTAGGGGTTTCTCACTGTGCCATGGTGCTCCACTTTGTGCTTTCTCCTTGTTGCAGCTCTGCTGCCTGCCAGCCTGTCCCAGGAGTATTCCAGCATCCTGGAGGCGACCTGGGCTTGTTGCAGCAGCAGACACCCCTCCTGGCTCACCGACAGGGACAGGAGATGAGTTTCCAGGCAGCTGTCACAGCTGCCGCTGCCACAGCCAGAGAAGTTACAGAAAGAAAAACAACATTAAATTTCCCTTGGCCTTGGAAGCTTGCTCCTGAGCAGTCACTTGGTGGGGCTGAAACCTCCCCTGTTCTTGCTGAGAAGGGGCACTCCTGCTGCCTACCCTGCCTGCATCCCGCTCAGGGCCTGGGGCTGGCGATGGGCTGCTCGTGTTGGGGGTCGCAGAGGGCTGGGATCTGGAGGATCTGCCTTGCACCACAGAGCTGAGGGGAAAAGCTGCGCTCGCTGCAAGCACCTGGTCTGCAGCGCAAGCATCGCCCTCAGGGTACCAGGCCAGGAGTGAGTCCCCAGCCTTGTCAGCAGGCAACCCTGGGATCCTCATGGCATCTGGAAGACCAAACCCTGGACGTGCTGTGCTTCCGTGCAGGGGAGCTGCGGTCCAGACCCCCCCCCCCCCCCCCCCCCCCAAACTGTGATGTTCCAGGTAATCCTCCTGCCTGATGCTAAGGCGCTGTGAGGAAGAGTACTGGAGATCAGTGAGTGGACAGAGCAGCTATACAGCTGGCCCAGCAGACTGCATTCCCGCAGTCCTCATATGTGTCTTCCTGCAGGTAATTAGTTCCTTGGTTTTCAATGGCTTTTCTGAGGACGTGAGCTGGAACGTGAACAGCACTGCTGAGCTCCAGAAGGCAAGCACGCTGCGCTGGCCTGTGGGGACCTGCTGGGCTGATCTCGCCCCTGCAGCTGCAAAGATGTGTCCCAAGCCACGTGCACCCCTGGCCCAGCACAAGAGGAGCACTCAGGTGTGGGTTTTTGCCTGGCTTTGTGATCCTTTTCCAGAGCAGTGCAGATTTAATGGCGATCCTTCACATTCTCAGGAAAAGACATCGGGCTTTGCAAAGCTGGATCCAGGATTCGATGCAGCCATCAGGATGTGCAGCCATCGTACCAATACAGCAAAACAGAAAGAGGGGTCACTGTACGGTAACTGGACAGCCTCAGCTGCAGGACAGACCTCAGCCCAGCCTGCCCTCACGGCTGCTGGGTGCGGGGCAGCACCTGGCCCTTCACGTTGTGGCTCTGGGTGGCAAGGAGGGGTAAAGCAGCAGTGGGAGTTGAGCCCCCCACCGTTTGCCTCTCCTGAGATGTGCAGCCTGGCATGCCACCACCTACCTCTCCTGCTGGTGCGTTTGCCAGTTGTTTGTGGTTAGGATGCCAAGCACTTGTTCTTAGACATCCCTCATCTCTCACCGGGGACAGCGACTGTTTGTGGCGCTGGGATAATCACTGCCCTGTCTAGCCACACTGTACTCCTGTGGACATATTTTTCATCTGCCTACATCTCTGCCATAGAGGGGGCTGCTCAGGTGAGCATGGATTAGTCCAGCTGTTCACTGTGGGGAGCAGGCACCAGCCATTTCTAATCAGGATGCATCGCCTCGGTGAGTGTTTTAACCATGGTAATTGGAGAGGTTTTAATCCCTCTTCTGCTGCGGGAAGCACGCACTGCTAACAGAAGCGATCCACCCCGACTTGTCCCCGGCTGAGTCAGCCCACAGCAGCTTCCTCTGCGGTCAGAAGCTGCTCACCTTTAGCCAGGAGCCAGGCAGCTGCTGAAATCCCTTCACATTGCACGCAAATTAGGCATTGAAAATACTCATTACAGCCAACATGACACACCTTCATTATTCCAGAATAATTGTCTGAAAGGCTCGGCTTGCTACACAAGCTTCACTTGGTGCAGAAATGTGATAAAAAGAAAACAGGAAGTGCAATCAATGCTTGTAATCCTTTTAAATAAAAAAGGTACTTGCTAGTAGCTGCCAACATCTTTAAAAAGCTGTGATTTCCCTGGAGAGAGCCCTTATCAGCTATGACTGCATGTCATTCTGGCTGTCTGTCAATCCATCAGAATCCAGTGCCACTGACATTAAGAAGCCAGGCGTTAAGATTATCACATTTAGCCGTAATGTAGCACAGATTGTGTTGACATTTGGAAAATATTCCACCACAGGAGCCATTTGACTTCTGTACTTTCTTCACAAAGAAAAAAATGCTTTGAAACATTTCAGGGCGGGAGCCTGCCCTGCCCGGGGGTGCTGGGTGGCTGTGCCCCCGCCGCTGCAGCGAGCGGGAGGGAGACGAGGGCATTGCAGGTGCCGTGCCCGCGTGTGGCATCGGTGCAGGGGCAGCCCCAGCTCCGTGCGGATGGAGCCTCACACTGGTGCTCGCAACATTGCCCATGGCTCTGCTGGCGTCCCGTGCACCTGGGCAGCGCCTGCTACAGGGATGTGTCCTGGGAGCGCTGCTCTCGGGGCCAGCCCCAGCTCCTCCTGCACCACGCTCGTGTTTTTGCTCGCTGAGGAAGTGTCCCCTGAGCGCACACGGGGCTGCCGCGGTGCAGCTTGGGCTTTGCCGGTGGGGACAGGCGAGCAGCACCCTGGGCGCGTGCCGCAGGGACACGGGCTCCTTCCCTCTGCCCGGGAAGGCCTCAGCTCTTCCTGCGTTGGAGGAGATTCCAGGCCGTGC